AACCGGAAAGCTAGCGTGCCTTGCAGCTGCACCAGTTGTTATGTTTGGAGGAAGTTAGATTAAACTATAAGAGAACAACTTTGAAAGGGAGACAGTTGATGTCACCATTTAGCGCCAAACAGAGAGGATGCTATGGCTTCTATACCGTCAGTCTCAGCAGTCCTTTTAGTTGGCAGGACCGAAATGGGTTTCGAAATCAAAGAATTATAATTCCCATCAGTATAATTCTTGGGAAGCTGAAGAAGGTGGGCTTCTTTTCTCAAGCAAATGTAAAAGAACTGAAACATTATTTTCCACTTACAGGGATGATTTTTTTTTTTGATTTTTTTTTTGTAGCTCTCCATAATCAGAGAGAATACTTCGGCGTCCCTGGATAACAGACAGCACTTTGATATTTTAATCATTTAAGAAAGCAATGATCATTCAGTAGACGAACGCATGCTCAGAGAAAGAGCCTGGGATTGGGAATCAGAGACCAGGATTTCTGCCTTCTTACTGGTGTTTGATGTTGTGCAAGGTAATTGCTATTGCCCACACAGCAGCCATCACAATGACTATTTCATTCGTGCTTATTCGTGGCAGGCATTATGCTAAGAATGTTTTATACTCGAGCCTCACCACAGCCCTAGGAGAGGAGTCAGTGTTACGCTGAGGAGCATGAGTTCAGGATGGATAAGTAAGGACACAAAGCCGGCGACCGGACGCAGGCAGTCTGCCTCCAGGAGCTTTGCTCCTAACCGTTTTGCTAACGCTACCAAACACATCATGAGGAAAATAAGACTTTTTTTTTGGGGGGGGGGGGGAGCAGGGGAAGGACTAGCAGCCTGACTCTGTACCTAGTTAATAAGTATCGCTAATGCACATTCCTGTTAGCCTATAGTCTAGTCACTGCCCCTTCCTTAATTATCTGGTCTTGCAACACCTATTTACCTAAATACTCACATTTTACAGAGGCCATAAACCATGAACAATACACAACCACCAGCCAGGTCTTAGGTGTGGTCTTACATCCCCCATCCCAACACCTGAACTTTTTTGCAAAGCCTGAGAAAGGTCCGGAAGTCTGATCCTTGTTTGGGGGACAAAGAAACCAAAGGATATAAAGAGAACGCGTCCTCCATATTGGCTTGCTCAGGATTTGGAAACAGGCTTCCCTGAGTCACGGTACTAGAATATCTGGAAATAAATGTTCCCTGTATCTCCGGGTACTCCTGTGTATTTTCCGGTCGCCTGGTAAATTCTGTCACACGCAGAGGGTGGTTGTCAGGGTGTCTGAGTGTTACTGCACAGGACATAGGGAACTGGCCTAAAACACAACGCTCCACAGAGGACCCTCCTCCTAAGCTGCCGGGAGGATGGGCCTTGTCACCATGCTTCTCACAGGAGCTCAGCAGCTGCATGTGTGTGCAGCCCTGACAGGGGAGCACAGTCCCCAGGAGGCCGGAGAACACCGCCTCATTCGAGTGTGAGCCCAGCAGCCAGGCTTAACGGCCCTCTCCCTCCACCCCCCAATCATGTTTCCTGTAAGGAAAGGAAAGTCGAGTCACTGTGATTTTAAAATGACACTATAAAGCTGCTTCAGGAAATACTTGAATTTACTTTCCCTGTCTAAAGAGGATTTGGAAAGGAAATAGTTTCCAGGGCACATCCAGAAAATAGTTAATAACTACCCCTTAGGGGCACTTAAGTGTTGGGGTCATTGACCACATTATCTCTAATCATTATAACCATCGTACATGGTTGGGTTTACTTCCTGGTTGGGATGATGAAGTGGCCCGTTTTATAAAAGAAGAAGCTGAGGCTGTGAGAGGTTGGTCATTGGGGACAAGGCCACTCAGCCACCCAGGGCCGAAGGCAGGCTTCAGACCCAGCTCCACCAGGCCCAAGCCCGCCCGCCAGTGGCGGATGGAGTTGTGACAACGAAGAACACCTTGAGAAAGGACCTCCGTCTTCAGATGCTCCAGGGAGCTGATGATGAGAGCTGACATCCTGATACACAGCAACCTTAAGGGGAGGCAGGTGTCAGCCAAGGTCCTCCTGACCAGGCACTGCTACACGTTACAAAACCAGGCATGTAAGTAACTCCCTCCTACCCAACACTACTTATCTGGAGATAGTAAAACCTGGTGAATCAAGATAAATACTGGAAAGTGAATTTATTATAAATAAGAACCTATCCTCTTGACTTTATATGTGGGCCCAGACAACATAAAATGTCCTCATCCCTCATTAACATAACTTTGTTATATGGCATCTCCGTTTTTGTGAGGGTGTGATGGTCAATTAGCATATTCCCTCTTTATTAGATGGTATATTCAGGGCCAGTAATAGCAGGCATATGGCATGGACAGGCCCACCCTAGGCAGGTCTGGCTACTCCATTTGCCTGCCTCCTGAGTCCCCCAGGCTCCTCAGCCCCCTAGGGCTGGCTGAGGCTTGTGCTGCCGGCAGTGGCAGCAGCAGAGGTATGATGGGGGACGTCACTTTCCCCTGGTCGCTGGGTTATCTCCCACCTGAGGGCTCCCAGACTGTGAGAGGGGACAGGCCCAACGGAGGGAGCCCCCTCCAGTGCATGAATTTTCATGCACCAGGTCTCTAATTTTATATAATTTGAGAATCAGCTTATCGATTTCCATAAAATGTCTGCTGAGATCACACTAAATCTTTTTAAAAATTATGCTTTTATTGATTTTTAGAAAGAGGAACAGACATAGAAATATTGATGGGCTGCCTTCTGCATGGCCCCCAACTGGGGTTCCAGTCTGCATGCAACGTGGGCATGTGCCCTGACTGGGAATTGAATAGGAAACCTTGGTGGGTAGGTCTGTGCTTAATCACTGACCCACACCAGCTGGGCTGAATCTTTTCTGTTGTTAATCCTCACTGGAGGATATTTTCCCCATTGATTTTAGTTTAATCTAAGCTCAGATTTCTCTCTTCCTCTTTCAGCTGTCTAATGGCATTCTTTGATAGTTAAGGAGCCTATTTGGAAAAGATTCTGTGTAAAGTAAAGGTTTCAAGACCTTGTTTAGCTAAAAATGTTTTCATTTTTCTCTTAGGTTTAATAGTTTATTTGAATCCAGAATATTGAAGGCACTGCTTCTGTTGAAATTTGAAGCTCCTGTTTCTTGTTCCTTGGTATTTGACCTGCTCTTTTTCTTTGGAAACATAGATCTTGTCACTGTGATGGTCATTGTGGGGTTATCTAGCTGGGTAGTTTAGCTAGGACACCTGATGTAGTTCTTTCCTCTTGCACTGACCAGATAGCACAGAGAAGATTCTTCCAATATTGTGGGATGTGAAGATCAGGCTGCCAGGATTCAGTGAGAGAAGGAGGATAATGGTATCCAGTATGCAAATATTTCCTGTTTTGAGTATGGTCCTCTCCCATCTATTATATCCATCCAGTGTTCTTCAGTCCAGAATCCCCATGAACATACCCCAAATAAAGAGCCACACATTTACTGAAATGATATGTGCATTTTTAAATACTTTATTTGCATAACATTTTATTGTTTGCATACTGCATAATGAAAAGAACAGAGTCACAAGACTCATGGTCTGGCTCAACCCCTAACTGGCTGTGTGAATTGGGTCTGTTAACCTGCTAACTTCTTACTTCCCCATTTGAAAAACAGAGACGATAATACCTATTTTACAGAATTGCTAACGGCCAAATGAGTTATACTGTTTTTTTTCTCAAGTAATAAATTGCTCAAAATAAATCAGTAGTTTGCTATTGCTAACTCCTTGTTCATCATCTCAATGTTAACTGGCTTCAGTGAATGCATGAAGACACCAGGTACCAAGGTGACACTAACAATAGCAAAAGAGATATAAACTAAAAAATGGCATTATTTCCTATTTTTAGAATATTGGTTTTTATAATGCTTATTTATACTATCCCATGAGGAATTCAATTTCACGTAAAACTTTTTTCTTAAACCTACTCAAAATGAACACCTACATATGTGAAAAACCCAACATTACACATGTAGTTGCTTTACAGTGTCCCCTCTGGTATAGTATATGTGAATTACATATCATGGGCAGTTAAATACTCCCCCCCGCCCCCAACACACACATCAAGGGATAATATATATAAAGGTTAATTTTTTTATGCATTATCCCTACTGTAAAAAAAAAAAATCACAGGTATATTATACTGCTTGTCAAGAATACATACACATGGTTGTCATATCTACATACATACCTCTTCTAATAATATTTCAACCATCATCAGTATCTTCTGTATGACCCCTTACAGCTATTTGTAGTTGAAAACACAAAATTCACTTTAAGGCAATTCTGGATAATATTGTTTTATAAAATACTTGTGTTAAACAAAATTGCATGTATGTATTGAACCTCCAAACACACTGCTTTAAACCCTCTTACTACTCTTAAAAGGTAAACAAAATTTTTATACATCATAAAAAAATGTAAGCTGCTCTGCAACCCTCCTTTGCTAAAAGTTAGATAACATTACACCACTCCAGCAAGAGATTAATAAATAAGGATTAAATATTCTATTTTACAAAAACATACAGAATAGCCAATGTAAAAGTGAAAGGCTTATTTGATAATTTCTTTATAAAATTATGTTCATTAAGAAGGAATAAAACATGATATAAAATGAGAAAACTGTCATTAAATTTATCTCCTTGAAGATAAGCACAAGTTGTTATCTAAAAATATGACACCCCTGTTACAAACATTATTTTTTTAAAAAAGACTGGGCTTCCTGGAACTATAGGACTATTTATCTCATAGCTTTTATTAAGCAAACTTGATATAACCACCACACAGTGGCAAGAGATAAAACAGCTGTTTCCAGCTACAGAAAATATTGAATTCTACCTTAAAGTACAGATCATTTGAGATATAACCCATAACAGTTAAAGCAAATCATAGTGTAGTTTGTACTGAATTCCCTTAAGATACTTTTGCTTTCAACGGAATATATTCATTTTCCTGTCATTCAGGATCAGTTTCTGTTGCTTAGTAACTATTTTCATGTCCAGCCAAGATGTAAAGATTGCTGTGTGCAGTAGGGTTTTCTGTTGGCCTACTTTCCAAAACGACAACCCTGCAATTAAACCAAAACGAAAGTTTTGTGTAAGAGTAAAGACAGAGATTGCAGCTTCCAATACTAACATCAAACCAGGAAAGAATACCATTGTTTACATTCTCATAAGATTGCATAAAGATCACAGACACAGCACAGTTAAGTTCAGCTTTACATTTTATAACTTAAAAACAAAACTAAGTAAGAATTGATGAATTTACGTATAAAAAGTATTGAAAACCTTTCAGGAAAGTCTCATTCTCTTATTCCAACTACACCAAATTGGCTTACTCATATGCCAGTGAAAGTTATAAATAAATAGCTTTAGAAAATACACTAAGAAGAAGGGGGTGGAAGAAGGGCTGAGGATAAAACATGATTTCTATGAGACACCCATTCAAACTGTTCAAGGTATTTAAAAAAAAAGTTTTTTTTAAAAAAGTCTAGTGTGGCCTAACTCCTTTGTCCATGGAACAAGGATAAGGAAAGAGTTCAGTAAAGGACCAATAGGAAGAAAATTCAATAAAGTGCCATACCATAGGATTTACACTGTTGTTGAGGGGTTTGAAAAGAGAATAAAAAATAATGTACCCATGAACAGAAAAAAGTCTTGGAGGGGGAATTTTTCTAGTGTATGAGTTTTCTACAACTAGTATAGTACTACTTTTGTAATAAAACAATAAAAATATGTACTTTGCATTATGTATTGCAGAAAGGTAGAAGCAGAAAATAAAATTACCTATAACCCAATTACCTAGTTAACCATTATTAATATTTTTACATAAAATAAAAAAATAAATCATGAAATCAAAGAGATGCTCAAGTAAGATAAAGAGAATAAGGCAATGATATGAAGAAAAAAGTTTTTTTTAGGGAAAATTGTGACAGAATGGAGAAAGTCAAAGGGAATAGTTGAAGGAGAAAGTTCAGAGGTGGGGGAGGTGGAAGGAAATACATAACTAAGAGAAATGCCTTAAGCAGAATTCTCTCTGACTCTGTCTTGTTTAGGTGCTATTTATGCCAGGATTATTGGATGACCCACAATTCTTTTGTCAGCCCTTCCTGGAGAAGCAAAGAGCCTCCCATTTTAGAGTCTTTAACCAGGTGATCCTCAAATTCTTTCTTCCCCCCCCGGAACTAATTACTAAGATGCCATGCTCGATGGGCTTACCTTTTCTACTCATTAGTTACCATTTTTCAAAAAAATATTTTTTTCTCCTTACAAAAGTCTCCTAAAAATTTTTATAGGGTCACAACTCCATCCCCCCTTTCCTTAGGTATGTAATATTTACCAGTAAGCAATTATTTTGTGACTAGACTGAACTTGAAAACCTGAGGTTCTCAATCCTCAACTTAGGACTAATGCATACTATTAGTCAATTTTGCTGCAGTAACAATTGTTGTTGAGAAAATAGAAAGGAGTGTTTATTTTTAAACTGAATCTTTCTTGTTGTAAGTATTACTTACCTATGTCCCCTTCCCGCCCATTGACCCCTTCTAGCTAGCCCCACCCCCTTCCCCAGGCCTTCACCACCCTGTTGTCTGTGTCCATGGGTTATGCATATATGCATACAAGTTCTTTGGTTGATGTAGGAATGGGTGTTTTATTAGTTGAGGTAGACAACATAGACTTTGGGGAACAAAAACTACTAAATTTTTTCTAAGATGGCACAGTTTTGGAATTTGTCTTTAATTTTTATCACAGAGATCCACAAAATTCCTCCTAATTTAGACTGACTTCAGAAAATGAGTTGAATAGGTTCTGATATAAAAGCAGATGCCAGGGGGGTACATATTCTGTTGGATTTATATAATAATAGTTAATAGAAGGTAACAAGCTAGAAAGAAATGATGAAAACAAAGGAGCCTGAAATGAAATATGTCCTGGTACTAGGTACATAAGCACCTATATTAACACATTTTGTCTTGGCTGTGCATAACTATCTCTAGAATCAAGATCCTCACAATGATAAAAGATTGATTAATCAATTGATTAAATTACTATTCTATCAATAAAGATGCTGAGAAATCCTCTAAGAGTTATCTGACAGTATTTAAGAACACAACCCCCAAACTCCTTTGGTAATTAAAACAACCACACTCTTTACCTGTCTGATCCTAATAAGCGGAAAACTCTTGTTTCATCTGAAATCTCTTGGGTAACCTATGAGAGAAAATACTGATTAGTAATACTTTATCCCCATGTTACTTAAATAATTTAAAAATCATTTAGATAGAGCAAGTATTAAACAATTATAGTTTCTGATAGACTCACTTCCTCAAATGAAATAAATTTTAGGAATTACCTTTTGACCATCTATTAGTAGAAATAAAACATTTATGAAAACATCTGTTATGGGTCAGGCACTTTCCCTAGAACTCTTTGTATTATAATCCCCATATTACTAGATGGGAAAAAACACGAAGATGTGCAGAGGTTAGTAACTTGCTTAAGGTTATAAAACTGGTAGGCCCAGGTTTGCGATGGCAGAGTCCCTGCTCTTGCCTGGTGTCAGAGTGCAGACTCCAGCAGAGCTGCGGCAAACACGCCACGTGCCAGGATCTGACACCAGCGTACGGTGGTCCTCGGCTCTGTCTTCTCCAAAGCTGTAGAAGACACTCAGTCAAGCACAGGTACTATATCAAAATGTGGGGGCTTACACCCCCAGGGAAAACCTTAACCAAAAGAGACAGCAGATGGTGTATAAATGCACCTTCAAATGAGTCAATTCTGAGGAGTATTCTACACTGTCCTCAGTAGGCAGTATGGGATTAAGCCCTGGTTGCCCATAGTGGGAACCATTTATTACTGTGCTCTGTACTGGCTTTTTGCCCCTCTCTATTTTATATTCCTCACTCCATCACTTGTTTTCTGGTATCTACTCCTAAATAAACTACCTACACTTGAGTCCTTGTCTTTTTAAAAAAATATATTTTATTGATTTTACACAGAGAGGAAGGGAGAGAGATAGAGAGTTAGAAACATCGATGTGGGAGAGTCATCGATCAGCTGCCTCCTGCACACCCCCCACCGGGGATATGCCTGAAACCAAGGTACATGCCCTTGACCGGAATCGAACCCAGGTCCCTTGAGTCCCCAAGCCGATGCTCTATCCATTGAGCCAAACCGGTCTCGGCTGAGTCCTTGTCTTAACATTGCAGACGGATCACGAGAATTCTCGCTTCTTATTACATAGTGTTTTACAAAGTATCATACTTTAAAAATATATTAGCTTTAAGAACATATAATAAATAACTTCAGAATGCAATGTGTATTTAATTTTAAAGCGTGCCTTTAACAATTTTGTAAAACGTTTTTTGTACTCTTTCAATAGAAACTTATCTGGCCACTGGGTAAAGCTAGCAATAAAACTACTGGTCCGCAATGTGTTAGGTCAGCTTTTGGAGGAACCCAAACTACAAGAGTATGGATATAAAATAACTATAAAAATAGTGTGTTATCAATGAATTTGTAGAGAGCTAGGAAGATAGAATTAATAAACTTAAATAAGGAAACAAATTAGAAGATTTACTAGGTGGAGCTAATTTTCATATATTAAGTTAAAAAATGTTCCAATCATTGTGGACTGGAATGGAATAAATTAATATTATTTTATAAATTTTACAGCAAAGCCCAAATTTAAGTGTGAGAACATAAGCAGAAAGAAAGAGGTGATCAAGATGAGTTAAATACGGGAAATAAAATTTGCACTTGATGTGGTGAACAACAGGTATTTTCCATAGATTGCTAACTGAAGGAATGATACGAGATCAGCATCTGAGGACAATTAATCTGATGGCAGTAGGCAAGGCTGTCGGCTCAGTTAGAGGCAGGGACCAGTGATTAGTGACATGGGCAGAAACGAGATCAGTGGTCGGCAAACTGGGGCTCGAGAGCCGCAGTTTGCCAGTCTGTTGACTAACGGGTTTGCCGACCACTGTCATATACTACCCTTTAACTCTTTGCACACAATATGCCATAATTGCCTACTCCTCACTGCTTCCAACTACATGGTAACAGTTAGTCTAGCAGTGGTTGGCAAACTCATTAGTCAACAGAGCGTCAGTTTGCCGACCACTGAACTGATAAACTGACATGTTCAAAGATAGCGAATTTGTCATTTTCTTTTAGAAGTATTCTAATTCCTCATTCATATAAGTGGCGAAAATACTCAATTACAGGCAATTCAAGAAAAAGAGTTTAAGCTTTAAAATAAGCCCACATACTGGTATTTGTGAGACCATGGTATACAAGAATTATACAGGTACTCACACAAATGGGAAATGTCTCTGCTATTATAGTATTGTCTTAACTATCTCTCAAGGTGGAAGAGCTAAAAGTGACTTTTGGAGATCCTTCAAATCCAGGCTATGTAATCTAGTCAAGTTACTTAACCCCTCTGTGCCTGTAAAATGGGAATATGAATAATACCTAACCCCACTGGATTATAAGCATTAAGTAGCTAATATTTGTCAAGTGCAGGAACAAAGATTCTAGCAGAGTTTGAAATTATTTATAATTATACTTCCCTATGCCTTACAATGCTATAATAATAGTGTTTTGCATGTAGCTGGTACTCAAAACTATTTTCTAAATGAGTTAATGTTCTTAAATTTTCCTTAGTCCTGGGATCTAATACATATCAATTTAGGATTTTAAATAAAATATTTAAAAAGAAGCTATACACTTCTAGATTATGGAAAAGGTTTATTAAATTTAGAAAACTACTACAAGGCTAGTAACCATATTTAAAAATAAAAATTAAAGGACTGAAATGTGGCCACTGAGAATTTTACAATACAAAACTGAACTGGGAGAATAATACTGGCAATTTTGCTCTGCCAGTTCACAGTATTAAAACCACTAGCCATAGCCCTGGCTGGTATGGTTCTGTTGGTTGAGCATTGTACCATGCACCAAAGGTTGCCAGTTCAATTCTCGGTCAGGGCACATGCCTGGGTTGCAGGTTTGATCCCCAGCAGAGGGTATGCAGGAGGTAGCTGATCGGTACTTTTCTCTCACTTTGATGTTTTTCTTTCTCCCTCTCCATTCCTATCTCTCTCAAGTCAACTTAAAACAATAAAGGCACTAGTAATGTAGATTCAGAAAGAAAATTATAAAATGAACACTTCAATATTAAAAATCTTTAGTGGAAACCACTGGAGGTAATCTGAGAAACCTTACCTCATCTGATTTGAAGCTTTTCCCCTGCATTCCATGTTTCCAGAAAGCCAACACACTGTCTTGAAGGCACACTAAAAAAGATTAGGGGGGGGTGAAACTGAAATACAGCACAAATAGTTCATTATACATTTTCCTTAACTGTTTTTAATAAACGATAATGTAAGGCTATCCAAATGCTTGGTGCAAAATTCCACTGTCTAGACCATTAATTCCCAACATTTTTGTGGCTAAGCCATGTCTAAACTCAAATAATTTATTGAGTCGGGTAATACAAGTTTTCAAAAAAAAAAAAATACACACACACACACACACAAATATATAAAATAGGCATTCATTTAAACATGGGCTAACTTATTATTTTTTAAAAAAATTTATTTTTCAATTACAGCTGACAGACAATATTATTAGTTTCAGTTGTATAACATAGTGATCAGACATTGGTATAACTTTCAAAGAAACCTAAGTTTGTATCAGATTGTTGGAAAATTAGACATATGCCCTACACTAGTAAAGGTGATGGGAGACAGTGATAGAAACTTATTGTATGTTTTATTAGAATACTAACTATATAAAAAGCTAATGTAAGAATGTCTTGGAAACATAATTTTAATAAAGATAAAACAATTTTACTAAAAAATCACACGTTTCACTAACTGTGATGAATATGAAACCCAGTTACCAGTTTATTTGTTTATTTATTTAAAAATATATTTTATTGATTTTTTTTTTACAGAGAGGAAGAGAGAGGGATAGAGAGTTAAAAACATCGATAAGAGAGAGTCATCGATCAGCTACCTTTTGCACACCCCCTACTGGGGATGTGCCTGCAACCAAGGTACACGCCCTTGACCGGAACCGAACCTGGGACCTTTCAGTCCACAGGGCGATGCTCTATCCACTGAGCCAAACCGGTTTTGGCTACCAGTTTATTTTTTAAAAGATTTAAAGGGACTCTTTTTACCCAGGAAGATCCTTGTAATTATTCCAAGGTTCACTGCTGGGGAGAGATGGTAGCTTATGAGGAACACATTTTTGTGTAATTAAAGTTCCCTAAAAAATTTGACACATATGAAAAAGTTGAGGTATCAGTGTGTTTCAGTTAAAATGAAGAACTATAAAGATCTTCATCACGATCTCTATTGAAGATATCAAAGCTTAGAAACTGGCATGCAACATCCAGGACTTAAAGAAGTGAGGAAGAAATGAGCTCCAAAATTCCTTTTGTCCTGGCATCTACAGAAAGTTTAGCCTTTCTGCTTCAATAAATTAAGATTTTTCAATCGTATGCAAATTATGTTTATGTAAGATATTTACACAGAGGGATGATTATACTTTGTAACAGGACAAAATGCCAGTTGGGAAACCATTAAACTATTTTTTTAAACACCTTTTTAAATAATGAGAAATATATTTTTTAAGGTATATATATGTTTAACTACAAAATACATATATTTTTCAAGGCCAATAAAAATTTCCAGTTTGTTTTAAGTATTTTTGACTTATGGTAGAATCATATCATACAAAGTTCAGTGTTTCCAGGCACATTATTTTTTTTTAAAAGTTCTATCATCCCTAGGGGGAAATACTTACTGACATATAATCAATGAGAAATATTTATCATAAAACCAATGAGTATGATAGAGTAAAACACTCATTGACAATAAAACAAATTAAAATGGCACATTAGTTTCTAAGTGGGAAAATATCTATTTGTATAGAAATAGACTTAAAAGCAATAACCATCAACACACACCAAGCAGAATCAGACACAAAGAATTATAGCATATCTAATATCATTAATCATATCACACAAATACCTTCATGATTTGGAAATAATCGGGAGAAGTATAATTCACTTGAGGCAATAAAGGGAACAATAAACAAAAATTTTAAAATGATTTCAAGTTTTAACCCTTTGCACTCCGCTGTCCCCTCTCAGGGGACATCGGAATTCTAGTATATCACTCGGATTTCCCCTCTCAGGGGGGACATTGCAGTTTATTAGTGATTACGGGGAATTGAGTTATTTCAACGCACGTTTCCACCGCAAAGTAGCGTCGAGTAGCTGGTAGCCAATGTCCAGAATGGTTCGGAATGCAAAGGGTTAAATATTTAGGAACCAACAATAAAAGATTTATTATTGTCTACACTTGCTTTGTCTAATACAATAGCAACTAGCCATATGTGGCTATTTACTTTAAAATGTAAATTAATTAAAATTTAAAAAATGTAGCACTAACCATGTTTCAAGTACTTAACAGGTGTGGTTAATGACTACTATATTTAAGAGCACAGAAAACACTTCCATATCACAGAAACTTCTAAGACACTGCTGGTCTATCACAGATACAGAATGAAGGGAAAACCAAGTATTCTAAAAGATTAAAAAAAAAAAAAAAAAAAAAAAAAAAAAGACTTACCTACAGACTCAATGCAAAAATCAAAAGTTAGCTCAGAGGCCAGTTTCTTACTTGACTTTAGTTTTCCTTGTAGATTTACAATTTTTACAAATTCTTAAAAAAAGAAAAAACAAGTCAAGATTGGAAATCCAAATCTGTTAAAGTAAATTTAACTTGATATATGGATTTTACATGAATATAGAACAATATTCTTAAAGACATTCAACTATTTAGATTCAAACATGTCCAGTGAGAAACTGTCATTAATATGTTTTATAATATAACTGTAAGAGTACCTTCTCTGGTAAATGGCAATTCTATTGTTATTTTTTTTCTTTTTTAGATGGCATATATTAAACACTTATATTCTCATTTTTTAAAAAGTACAATGTTTCTTTAAAAGTGGCTACTTTTAAATAAGTGATAAGTGATTTTCTCCCCTTACAAATTACAGATCATGATAAGTATATCTGTAGTCATTCAATACAATAGTATTGAGCACTATTGTAACAAAAGGGCAATGAGTAGTACTCTTAAGGGTAACAATTTCTTTATAAGTAAACTCTGGGATGGGGATATGCATAATTTTATTTTCCTTTCATCTATTTGTTTTTCACTTTAACCATCTTAGTTCTGACTTGGAGATACCTTTCTCTGTATTGCTTTCTTATCTACCTAACATAATTTGTGATTTCAGGCCTGTCTCCAACTGGTGTTTACTAGCACCGATTCATACTGCATAGTTGATGCTTAATTTTTGAAGTTTTATATTGTTCTTTAAAAAAATATCTCAAGAAAGTCAGCTCTCCATTTACTTTGAATAATTGGGAAGTGGAGGGCTTAATCAAAGGCTTAAATAAATTTATCAAAATTTTTTTGATAAATACATAAATCAACAAAATGAGACTAAGCACAATTTACTTTCCTTGGATGTCCCAGAAGGTATTAAGGATTTAACATTAAAGGTTCAACATTATTAAAATCAAATTCTGAATATCTGTTTATTTGCTTAATCAATACAGACCTTTCTAGCTCTTTGGGTAAAATATAATTCATCAAATATGCCACATGATCTCACTCATTTATGGATAATAAAGAACATTATAAACGGATGAACAAAAAGATAGATACAGAGGCAGAAAAGCATCAAACAGACTGTCAAATTACATCAGGAAGGTTGGGAGGGGTGGAGATAAGAGATCAATAGAAGGACTTTTTTGCATGCTTATAAGCATAACCAATGGACACAAAACACTGGGAGGTGAGGGCATGTATGGAAGTGGGGTGGGGGGGCAATGGGGAGTTATGTACACATGTAATACTTTAATCAATAAATAATAAAAAATTAATTAAAAATTTATCAGGTTAGCTTAAATGTAATTGAATAAACTTCAATCTTATCAATATTAAAAGAATCCAAAGTACTTAAAAATGATGGGCAAATGAGATACTTTTGAGTTTTGAGTTACTTATCCGTAATATTAGATTATCTTTATGATTATATAAGGTAAATCCACTAAGTAGCCTTCAGGGAAAAGAAATTAGGATGGAAATACAGACAAATTTGGTAGTATAACAATTTAAAAAATAACCCTATTCAGTAATTTAAAAAAAAAAATGGATCAAACATAGCAAATACTGTCAAGTTTTAAATATAGTTTCAAATTTAGGTTGGATTTCACCTTGCAGGATTCACTGCATAAAAATAAGTTTGTTTGCAAAACTGAAGTAATATTTGTTGTTAAAAGTTTCTCTGATTACATTATAACACTCTTCTTTCAATAACCTCGTGCACAAAATTTGTGCACAAGGGTAGAGGGGGTGTCCCTCAGCCTAGCCTGCATACTCTCCAATCTGGGACCCCTCAAGGGATATCTGATTGCCTGGTGAGATCAGGCCTAAACGGGAAGTTGGACATCCCTCTCAAAATCCAGGACTGCTGGCTCCCAACTACTCACCTGCCTGCCTGATTGCCCCTAACCACTCTGCCTGCCAGCCTGATAGATGCCTAACTGCTCCCCTGCCAGCCCGACTGCCCTTAACTGCCCTCCCCTGCTAGCCTGATCGATGCTTAACTGCTCCCCTGCCAGTCTGATGCCCCTAACTGCCCTCCCTTGCAGGCCTGGTTGCCCCAACTGCAGGCTTGGACTCCCCTAACTGCCCTCCCCTGCAGGCCCAGTCAACCCCAACTGTCCTTCCCTATGGGCCTGTTTCCCCCTCCCCGCCAACTGCCCTCCTCTGCCAACCAAGTCACCCCCAACTGTCTTCCCCTGCTGGCCTGATCTCCTACAACTGTCCTCCCCAGCCAGCCATCTTGTGTCCACATGGGGGCAGCCATCTTTGACCACATGGAGGCAGCCATCTTGTGTGTTGGAGTGACAGTCAATTTGCATATTACCTCTTTATTATATAGGATAACTCTTCCTAAATCAATAAAAACCCAACTCAATGAAGGTGTTAAATCTATATGTACATTACAACCTCACTGACATGATTCCAAAAGTTATGTTATACGACTATAAATGACCATGGTATGCACTGCCTAATGACAATCTGATCAACAATAGACTGCCTATATGGTGGTGGTTCTATGAAATTATAATGGAGCTGAAAATTTCAATTTCCTAAAGATGCAGGCTTGTAACATTGTAGTGCAACACATTACTCATATGTTTGTGGTGATGAAAGTGTAAACGAACCTCCTACACTGGCAGTCATATAATAGTACAGCATTTATAATTATGTATAGTACATAATACTAAAGATAATAAATGGCTATGTTGTAGCTTATATATTTACTAGAGGCCCAGTGCATGAAATTTGTGCACAGAATGTGTGTGTCCCTCAGCCCAGTCTGCATCCTCTCCAATCTGGGATCCCTCTCACAATCCAGGATTGCTGGCTCCCAACTGCTCGCTTATCTGCCTTCCTGATTGCCTCTAACTACTTCTGCCTGCCAGACTGATCACCCCCTAACCACTCCCCTGTCAGCCTGATTGATACCTAACTGCTTCCCTGCCAGCCTGATTGCCCTTAACTGCCCTTCCCTGCAGGCCTGCTCCCCCACAACTGCCGTCCCCTGCAGGCCTGGTTCCCCTCACCAGTTGCCCCCAACTTCCCTCCTTTCCCAGCCTGGTCACTCCTAACTGCCCTCCCCTACAGGCTTGATCACCCACAACTGCCCTCCCTTGCAGGCCTGGTCCCTCCCAATTACCCTCCCCTATTGGCCATCTTGTAACAGTCACCTTGTGTCCACATGGGGGCAGCCATATTGTTTGTTGGAGTGACTGTCAATTTGGATATTACTCTTTAATTAGATAGGATAGAGGCCTGGTGCACGGGTGGGGGCCAGCTGGTTTGCCTTGAAGGGTGTCCTGGATCAAGGTGTGGGTTCCCTTGGGGCATGCGGCAGCCTGGGCCAGGGGCCTGTGGTGGTTTGCAGGTGGGCATGCCCCCTGGCGACCCAAGTGGAGGTCCTGGTATCTGTGATTTATTTATTTTCTATAATTGAAACTTTGTAGCCTTGAGAGGAGGCCAGAACCAGCCAGGAAGCTTGGCTTTCTCCATCACCAGGGCAGGCCAAACCCTCTGCTCTTTCCAGCTCAGTGGCTGCTGCCATTTTAGTTGGGATTTATTTATCTTCTATATTTGATACATTGTAGCCTTGAGTGGAGGCCAGGGCCAACCAGAGCAGGTGGAAAGTTTGGCTTCCTCCATTACTAGGGAAACCCAAGCTTCTGCTCGCTCTGTGGCTGCAGCCATCTTGGTTGGATTAATTTGCATACTTGCTCCTGATTGGTGGGCGTGGCTTGTGGGTATAGTGGAGGTATAGTCAATTTGCATATCGATATTTCTCTTTTATTAGTGTAGATTATTCTACACTTTTTACTGTTATTTTAGTGTATGCTTTCTATTTACAGAAAGTAATGTTTTCCATAAAATAGCACGATGTGTTATGTTGGCAGCTGCCACACACATCTAATGTTTAGTGCCTCCTGAATGCACCATTTTCTCTTGTGCTTGATTTACTCTCATGCTGTACAGTTCACACTGTACATGTATGTAAACTAGGAGCAATAGGCTGTATACCATATATAATCTAGGTGTGTAGAGGCTGTACCATCGAGGTTTGTGTAAGTGCACTCTTAAGATGTTCCCATAATGACAGAATCACCTAACAATGCATTTTTTAGATCTGGGTATTCCCATTAAGTGGCTCATGAACATACCTTCCTAGTTTTCATTAATTGAGTTATGGAAAAAAACCCTCAAAATAGTTTTACACAGAATTTTATACAGAATAGTTTTATATAGATTTTTACCCCAAAGTTATGGCAAACTGTTTTAATATAATGTTTTCAAGTAGGCCAAACAAAAAAAGTCACAGAGAATAGTAACGACAAATATCTATTAATTACTATTTATGATATCTGTAGCCAATTTAGATTTTCATCAATAAAATAAGGTCACTTAAGATGAAAAAAGTGAAATATTTTCAATTATAGCATAATAGAATAATTTCAGTGAAAAGACTTGTTATAACAAGTAGAACATTCAGAATAAATTTTAAAATAGTACTTACTATCTAAACACACTAAAACGGTATCCCTTTCCAACTGTGTTACGTGAATGGAATCTAACTGTTGGTTGCCTTGGAGGGGAAAAAAATAATGTTAGTTCTATAACAATCTTTAACAACCTGATGAACAAAAAGATAGATACTGAGGCAGTAAAGCACCGAACAGACTATCAAATTACAGTGGGAAATCTGGGGAGTGTTGGGGAGGGGGGTGAAAAGAGATCAACCAAAGGACTTGTATGCATGCATATAAGCATATTGTCAGCCAATGGACAACCAATGGACACAAGACATTGGGGGGTGGGATGAGGGCATGCGACAGGGGGTAGGGGAGGCTGGGGGAACGTCAATGGGGGTGGGGGGAAAGGAGATATATGTGCTACTATATGTAATACTTGAAACAATAAAAAAAAATTAAAAAATAGAGCTTAGAAAATAACACAAATTCTGACCTTTTCTGTGATTTGAAACTAATCTTTGAAATTTAACACAAATTGGATTTTGTAATAATATGCTATTTTTTCAAAATATGTATATAGGTCAACTTAGGAGAACAATCATTAAGTCCCAAGTAAGGCTAAGTGAGCTGAGAAAAGCTAAAAATTACTGTTAATTAACACTTCAGCTAGTTCTAAAAAGGTGAGTTACAAAAATACAATGAAGCAAAGGGTAAAATACGCAAAAGTAAGGTACATGCTATACAATGATTAGATTTTGCTCTGCATTTTAAAGGAACCAATGGAAAGATGGAAACAAGATCAGTTACGTGAATCACAGCATCCCTGAGATAAAAAAACCAGTAGTTCAGAAAAACAAAAAATAAAATTAAATTAAAACCATAATCAAAGAAAAAATTTCCTGGTGTGTGTGTGTGTGTGTAAATTCCTTATTAAAGAGGACACTTAGTAATATAATGAACATTTCTGTCAACAATTTCTTGGCAGGAAATAATTTTCATCACTTTGCTGATATTTACAGGGTTGTTTCTTTTGATATATACTGACAGATGTGATGGCATTTGTGTGTGTGTGTGTGTTTATAATGGCATTTTTGATTAAACAATTCATTTTAGGCACTCAGATTGCTTGAATAGTCTAGCTAAATCTAAGAAAATATTTTAGATTATTTAGTGTAGTCATTTTTTTTAAAAAAGATATATATTTTTATTGATTTCACAGAGGAAGAGAGAGGAAGAAACAGAAACATCAATGATGAAAGAGAATCATTGATCGCACACCCCCTATTGGGGATTGAGCTTGCAACTTGGGCATGTACCCTTGAAAAGATTCTAACCCAGGACCTTCAGTCTGCAGGCCGATGCTCTATCCACTGTGCCAAACCAGCTAGGGCTAGTGCAATCATTCTTAATGGATTTTCTTTGGGAAGCCAGTGGATCCTCTCCCTTAAAAACTGCACATTTAAATGTAAATACAAAGTTTTATATATTATTTTTGGATGTTTTTGGACCTTCCAAAGCTCATACACAGAGAAGAATTCTGGTGGACAGAACGATAAATTGTTGGTCACTTGGGCAATAGTTCAAAAATAGTTTTTCTCAGTAAATCTATGTTCATGCATTTATTGAACAAATATTTATGGGGTGCTGACAATATGCTTAGAATAGGAGTAAAAATCAATAAAAAAAACTTAGAGCCCTAGCTAGTTTGGCTCAGTGGATAGAACATTTGAAATGAAGACTCCTTCATTTCACTTACTATGTAGGTTTTAAAAATAAATTGATTGATTTGTTCCAATTTTAAAGTTTGAATATAAATTTCCCAACTTTTTCTGAACTTCCATTGGATAAAATTTTAAGCTAATGAATCATTCTCAGACAGTGCAGGAGATATGTCCCTGTATATTTAAATGATAAAGCTGGATGCCACACATGGAAAGCACCTGAACTCAATGATTCTAAGCAGTGTTGAGGGAAAACTGATAGGGAAAAAAAAGATGTAAACCTCTTTGCTTGAGAAGCTGGTAAATTTGAAAAAGTACAGGGGTGGGCAAAAGTAGGTCCACAGTTGTTTGTATGAAAAAATACAAATTAATACATAATAAAACAAGAATAAACTCTGTGTTTCCCATACTCATAATTGTAAACCTACTGTTTCCCACCCCTATATCTTAGAAAACTTAAATCATTAAAATTTTCCTTGATAAAGTAATTTGTATCAAATTACCTCAGGCAGGTAGAGATCATAAACTGTATGTACATGATTCTCTAGGCTTCTTGGGAAACTATGATCTGAGTGTTTATTTTACTGAACCCACATTGGTTGAAATCATTCTGGTTTTTTTCATATGCAAAATCATCAATATTTTAACATAAGATAAAAACACTTACCAGCACCAATTTCTGTAAACCATGAAGATGCAGAATTCAAATTGATTGTCTCAAACTGAACTACCTGATTTGATTCCGTGCCTTTGCTAATAGCTACACAGACCATAGGGTATTCTTGTTCTGGTATTACCAGCATTTCAAAAACATTCAAAGGACTTGGCAGAGGAAAATCAAAGTGCTGCAGAAATAAACGAAAGAAGTATAATTTAGAAACAATTTCTGAATAGAAGTACAATTTAGAAACAATACTATTGCTGAATAAAGCCAATGGAAAGCCTTTAATTTTCTTGATTGATATAATTCTAAAAATAATCACTTAGGATCATAAAAATCTATAAAATATGTTTTAGAGAATTGACCACATTCATCTCCATGGCTGGGATGCTTCTAAAAGTTTATTAATGTAAATTAAAGGGGAGAGCAACCCACTTGGGTCCCCTCCTGGCAGGAGATAGCCTTTCTATAATAAAATTTTGCTTTTGCTAAAAAAAAGAAAAAAGAACAAGCAATCTTAAGAACAAAAAACTCCTAACCCAAATAAAGACCTAGCTATAAATAACTATAAACACGCCCATTCTACATAGTGATAATGGAATCGTAAAAATTTAAGTTCAGTTGCATACTAGTGTTTTCTGAAGAAGAAAAATGTAAACAAAGTAATATATACCTTTATCAACATGAATTTCTGCATTGGCTCATACCACTGAAGTAAAACAATTCCAGACTGTAAAGCTCCACAGAGGTATTTATGTCCTGTGTAAGGGTTTCTGACTGGAAGAAAACAAAACAGACATACCTAAAACACTGAATACCTTTCTATGAAAATATAACTGGTTTATTTCTAACCACTATGCTATACACCTGAATCTAATACAAAATAACATTGAATGTAAACTATAAATGAAAAAAAAAATATTTAAAAAATCATTAGTTTAGCTAAAAGCTAGACTCACCTAAAAGCTAACTCATCTTTTTTTTTTTTTTTTTTTTTTTTTTTTTTTTTAAATAAAGGCAATGCTAATATACATGGGGAAAAATAAGAAAATGCTGCCTTCTGTGGATGGAAGAACTATTTGAAGAAATTATTCAGCTGATAAAAAAAAAATTGTTTCTGTTCATTAGGGTGATAAGAATGAGTAAAAAGTAAAGATGTATTTTTTTTTTTGGGGGGGGGGGTGTTACCCTTTCCTTTTCAAGTTTCTTACCTCTTTATTTTTTTCTTTATTAAGGTATTACATATGTGTCCTTAACCCCTATTGCTCCCCGACATTACCTCTTTATTTTAAAATTAGATACATTTATTTCTAAACATCTTTAACATAGTGCAGTGTTAAGCAGAGGAACTTTTTACAAAACAGTATTTTATGCACTAAAACACAAACTAGTAAACTAGTATGCAAGTTGAAGAGCCGCTTCTTCTTTTTTTAAATTTTTTAACGTTTTACATATGTCTCCTTGAAGAGCGGCTTTCTTAAGTAAATTGACCGAAAGAGAATCCAGACAAGGTCTAGGAGGCAACTGAAATCTATGATTTCATTTTTGATTTAGTTAACAGCTGAGTTAAAACAAGGTGAAACTAACTGTTTTATATCTTACTAAAGATGTAACTTCCTTGACTCAAATCTACAAAAACTTATTGGTCTTTCCTTCTCTGCAATTTGACTCTCATCAATAATGACTATAAAAGTAGTTATCTGCAATAAGCTCTATCTCAATGTACTGGTGTCCCAAAAACAGGTACACACCCTTTAACAGCTGATATCTCAGTTGATGTTTCTTTTCAGCCGGACTAAGCTTTGAATAAGGAAATTCATCCTAAAATGCTACTGGAAGTTTGAAAATGCAGTTGAAGGACAAACACTGCCTTTATAATTACTCAAAGTATGTATACATATTTTGGGTCATAGGGAGTCCTCCCCCTCAACAACAAAAAAATGTATACACACTTTTTTGTGTATATAAAAAATGTATTAACAGCTGTTCGCTCTCTTAATTTTCACTCCTCTCACTTCATGTTTAACTGATTTGAAATAATGGGTGAAGCCAGACTAAGCTTTGAACAAAGAAAATTTACACTAGACTTTTTTATGGGGATAAATCAAAGATAAAAGTTCAGGTACAAAACCAGCAACAGTTGATGAACTGAGGGCACACAAATACTGAACTACCCTCCGGAACTAAGGTTAGAAAATTCTAGGCACACTATGCTCTGAGAAAGCATTAGGACTACTATCTCCAAGCATTTTTATCCCATGTCCCACTCTACATTCTTGTGCCTCACTGCCCCCTTAACTCCTTATAAAAAGAAATATAAAGCCTATCTTCCTTCCCACTTGATATTATAAGTCTTGTCAGATAATTTTAAAGATGTTAAAATTTCTAACCATCAGTTTGAGAAATAGCATTTACTCACCTATGCAACATTTGTGGCAGCCTTTTGTATCAGGAATTTTTGTAGTTATAGCAAACTTTCTGAAAACATAAGACAATATAAATTACTCTATTTTAATGGCTTACAAACAGTGGTCTGTGAATCAGTTACGTCAGAACTGTTAAGGAACTTCTTGGATTCTGATTCTAAAGTATGATTTTATAGGACTGAGGCAGGGCCTGGGAGTCTGTATTATAAAACTTCTATAGAAACAGACTCATAGACACAGAGAGTGGATTGGTGGTTGCCAGAAGAGAACTGGGGAGTGGGGGACTTGGTAAAAGATGTGAAGGAATTAAGAAGTTCAAATTGGTAGTTACAAAATAGTCATGGGGCCGAAACCGGTTTGGCTCAGTGGTAGAGCGTCGGACTGTGGACTGAAAGGTCCCGGGTTCGATTCCGGTCAAGGGCATGTACATTGGTTGCAGACACATCCCCGGTGGGGGTGTGTGCAAGAGGCAGCTGGTCGATGTTTCTCTCTCATTGATGTTTCTAGCTTTCTATCCCTCTCCCTTCCTCTCTGTAAAAAATCAATAAAATACATTTTAAAAAAAAAATAGTCATGGGGATGTAAAGTACAGCATAGGGAATTTATTCAATGATACTAACATATGGTGCCAGGTGGGTAGTGAAAACATCAGAGGGAACACCTTATAAAATACATGATTGTCTAATCACTATGCTATATTCCTAAAACCAAAACAAAATATTGAAAGTAAATGAAAATTTAAAATAAGATGCACTAAAAATACTTCCATAGGGGAATTCTCATGGAAACACAGATCTTTCAAATTTTATATGATATGTACTTTAGTGTAAACTATCTTTAAAAATCAAGACAAAGAAAGTTTTCCAGTGGGCAAAGAATAATGGCTGTTTTAAAAATAAACAATTTCTTTCTTTACTAGAATAAAAACATTTTGTACCTTGGTAGTATGCGGTCTGGAAACCTATGAGTTTGAATATGAGCAGCTAATCCTAGTTTTTTGGCTTGTTCAAACAAAGCTATAAGATTATGCGAATAGAGCTGAAAGCTTTTTCCTATAAAAGAGAAACATGTTATTTTTATTAGAATCATTTACAGAAGAAAAAATACAATTTTCAAGCAAAAAACAAAAACAAAACATAATTACCTTCTAAAACGAGGAGTCCAGAAATGTTCAAAAAGCCAATCAATATAAAACAAACAAACAAACAAACAAACAAACAAAAAACCCAGTTAATACTATTTTGAAAGATAATAGGTAAAGTTAGTTTTAAGAAAATAGACAATTGTGTTTCTTAATACACAAATTAGGAATATTCTGACTAGTAGTGACCTGGGTAGAATATATATAAACCTTAGTGAAGTCAGTATAGAAACAGCATTGCTGAACATCTATGTACAATGGATTGAGTTACGATGATGTGCATGTGATTATTTTAGCATAACATGGAAACTTCTATAAAACTATGTTACCTTATTTTCTGGGATAGAGCTATTTATTAATAATTTATCAAAATATTTTGGATTAAAACTGTGAATGACATTTTTATAACAGATTGAAATACTAAGAAGTGGAAAGCAAACTAACATATGCCATTAAACAAGGATAATAGTGATTATTATATAAAAATAATAGGAAGTAATAGCATTATTTCCATATAATCAAAACCATAGCTGTCTTAAGCATGGAGGCATATGGTAAACATCTCATTCCTTGTTATAAATGGTACCTATATATATATATATATATATATATATATATATATATAAAAAGACAGTGACTGGAAAGTTGGAACGACTGGAATGACTGGTTGCTATGATGCCCACTGTGGCTGGCAACTGTATCGATCGGGGGCGGGCGACTGGCCAACCTCCAGCAGTCCCTCCCCTGGCTGGCCCCGATCGGCCCCCATCAGGGCAGGCCGGCTGGACCCCATCCATGCACGAATTCATGCACTGGGCCTCTAGTGATATAAAAACATAAAACAGTATTTATCATTTTAGCATTAGAAGATTATATATACACACATACACACATATACATTCACAGGGTGAGGCAAAAGGTTTACAGTTATATGTAAAGCAATTTTATTATTACTATTACTAATTTTTATTTATTATTATATTCCTCATACTAACAACTGTAAACCTAGTTTTGCCCCTGTATGTACATATGTATGTGTGTGTGGAGAGAGAGTGTGCGCCAGTCTCATTCTCAACAAAATTCTCTATAGTTTTTTAGAATGCAAGCATTCTGCCTAACATTGCACCACCCTTCTTTTCTCCATTACCTCTATACACTGAGTAGCCAGATTATTATGATCTCTGAATGTATAATAATCTGTACACTCAGTATATATATTAGAGGCCCAGTGCATAAATTGATGCATGGGTGGGGTCGGGCCAGCCTGGCCAAGGGGAGGGGACATGGGTGGTTGGCTGGCCTGCCTGCTGGTTGAACTCCTTGTCGAGGGGACAATTTGCATATTAGCCTTTTATTATATAGGACTAGAGGCCCTGTGCATGAAATTCATACATGGGGGGGGTCCCCTCAGCCCAGATTGCATCCTCTCCAATCTGAGACCCCTCAAGGGATGTTTGACTGCCCATTTATAGAGACTGGGCCATAGGGGTGTGGCCAGCCTGAGTGAGGGGCTAAGGGCTGTTTGCAGGCTGGCCACACCACCTTCAGGTTGAGGGTTCCACTGGGGTGCCTGGTCAGCCTGGATGAGGGGCTGGCCAAGGTCCCTGGAAACCCAAGCTCCCAGCACCTCTTTTTCTTTTTTTTTTTTTTTTTCCAGTGCCTCCTGGAAGCAGATACCTGGGATTTATTTATTTTCTATAACTGAAACTTTGTAGCCTTGAGGAGAGGCCAGGGCCTGCCAGGGCGAGCAGGAAGTTTTGCTTCCTCCATCGCTGGGGGCAACCCAAGCTTCCTGCTCACTCCAGCTCCATGACTGCTGCCATCTGGTTGGGTTAATTTGCATACTTGCTCTGACTGGCTGGTGGGCATAACCGAGGTACAGTTAATTTACATGTTTCTCTATTATTAGATAGAATAAGATTTATCTGAATGGTTTTTAAGTTTATTTCCAAAAACAGGCATGAATAGTTATAAAAGAAGTGTTATAGGAAAGTGATCTTATATGTAGACTAGAGGCCCAGTACACGAAATTTATACACAGGTCCCTCAGCCCGACCTGTACCCTTTCCAATCTGGATTCTCTCAGGGGAGTCCTCTCCAATCTGGGAGTTCTGAAGGCTTGTTTAGGTCAACTTCCCAAAGTTCGCTGCTTTCTGTGGAGCCTAGCCACTCTGCGCCTGCTGCCCAGAGGCTCTCCACGGTCCAGAGGCTCTCTGAGACCAGGGTGGGATGTCTGCCTCGTTGCCGTGGCGATGAGACAAGCATCCCGCCCTGTCCATTCTGTGCACACACTGTTCAGAGGCTCTCTGTGGCCAGGGTGGGATGCATTTTGCGTCACCACGGCGACGAAGTAAGCGTCCAGCCTCGGCCACTCTGTGCATGCACTGCCCCAAAGCCCTCCGTGGCTGGGACGGGAAGTTGCCTTGTTGCCATGGCGACGAAGCAAGCATTCCGCCAGGCCACTCATGCTGTCCACTCTCAGCAGCAGCCCCCCAGAACTGGGGGACTCTAGCAGAGCTGAGGGGACTGGGCACCACCATCTTGTGGCTATGGGTGCTGCCATCTTTGTGATGGAGTGACAATTTGCATATTACCCTTTTAGTAAATAGGATAATTCACAGTTGTAAATTAACTGAAACAATTGTGTTTAAGTTTATTTTCATCATAATCATTATCAATTATTTTGTTAAACAAAAGTATATAAAATTTTGGGAAACTTAATTTAAATCAAAGAGATTAAATACTCTTTTGAGGGCCCCATCTTCTTAGAAGCCATTTATGCACAATCAAATAATAAGCTTTTCGGAAATACTGTCATTAGCTTACATATTATATATAAACTCCTTAAGAATTTCTAACTAGGTGATGGCTAGTGGAAGAATTTAAGTTACACATTCACACTTAAAATTATGAAAATAACATTTCTTAAATTAGGCCATAGTTCATAATGATCTACCTATCAACAAGTAAGAATGTGTATCAGCACTGATGCTTTAAAGCAAAAGTAGCTGGAAGGTACACTTAATGCTGGTAAATCTGACAGTACAGTAAATAGAGCAGGGATGTAACCCTCACCTGATCCATTGATACACAGCACAAGAGAGTATCAAACAAAAAGAATTTTAAATACTAAAATTATTTATTTATTCAAAGCAGAAAAAGCGGTGAGTGCTATTTTAATAGTTAATAGTATTAGGATCAAATTAAGGAACAGAGAGAAATAATTATCTTGTACTCTATCAAAATAAAAGCAAGCAGCAAATCTCTAGATAGTCAATTAAATCTAAATATAAAAGAAAATAGGTTTTTGTAGGTAAGAATGAAAAAAAAAAAAAAGCCTAAAATGCCACCCATGAACCTGTCCTCAACAACCACCAAAAAAAAGAAAAACACAAAAACTAAATTAGAATAGGTTGCTCTGGCACCCACTTGTTTATAAGACTTTAAAGCATCGGTCCAAGATAATATGTGGCCCAGAATAACATGAATTCTACCAGGAAACATCTGTTGAAGTCTTTACAGTTTATCAAGCACTCTGGATATTATCGCATCCAATCCTCACAGCCTCCTCTGAGGCTGTTATTGTTACCATCATTCTCGTTTACAATTACAAAAACTAAGCCTGAGAGAGACTTGCTCAAGATAACAGAGAAGAGAGCAGCTAGGTCCTCTGATTCTTTCCCTTCAACAGTTAATTTTCAACAGAAGGCAGGAATAATAGTGAAGTGGAGACGGATGGGTGGAAGGGCATGGCCTCAGGTGGCAATCACTAGGATAGTCCTCTGATGCTGAGATCCTGGGCAGATTTGGGAAGTGCTACCTTAATGGAAGATAGGGTCCCTTCTCAAAGTTTCTTCTCATTCTAAGTCGGTAAAAAGACATTTGCAGGTCTTAAAGTTACTATACTAGATTATACAAAGAATAACAAACAATATTTTTAAATAATGCATATTAAAATTGTATTTCTCTGCTTGTCTATGATTTATTTTTTACATTACGTTCATCATATACATACCCGATAATGACATTAAAGTATTATTGATGACATAGAGCCAAGTACATTTCCTTGGAAATAACTATAAAAAAATAAAAAGAGAAGATAGTTAAAACTCTCCAATTTTCATCTTCTTACCTCTTAACCTCCAAATTGCAACAGTCTAAAATAGTATAAAAATAACTATTTTCTACATTTCAGTAATTTACCAAAATCTTACAGAAAAAAGCTTCCCCCCTTTCTCTCTCTCTCTAAATACTTAAATTTTTTAAATATTTAAATCATAAAAATTCACTTCTTTAAATATTTAAATCATAAAATATTTAAATAAAAATATTCACTTCTTTAAATATTCAGATCATAAAAATTAAGACTGAGGACCATATAGATTGATTTGAAATTAAGATATTTCTTTTGCTCAATTTACTCAACTCTTCTTGAGTTAAAACTCCTTAATTACCTGTTCCATTGTTGCCTCATGTAGCTCATTGAGATTCAATGTGTAAATACCGTCTTCAGTTCCAAAAATAATGTACTGATCTAAAATAGTTGAGATAAACCATCAGAATTTACTATCAGTTTCTGAAGTCACTCATTAAAATAATGGCTCTATTTTTTTTAATGGTACTAAGAGTCAACAGCTACCCACCCATCCAAAGAAAAATTATTTTTTTAAATTTATGCCACCTTTGCCGAAACCGGTTTGGCTCAGTGGATAGAGCGTCGGCCTACGGACTGAAAGGTCCCGGTTTCAATTCCGGTCAAGGGCACATACCTTAGTTGTGGGCACTTCCCCAGTAGGAGGTGTGCAAGAGGCAGCTGGTCGATGTTTCTCTCTCATCAACATTTCTAATTCTATCCCTCTCAATTCCTCTCTGTGTAAAATCAATTATATATATAAATAAAATAAAATCCATGCCACCTTCTTTAACTTTCTCCTATCTTTTCTTATTTTTAAAAGCAGATATATACTTTATTACAAACTCACTTTGGATTTATCTATACATCCTTTTTTCAACATAATAATTTTCATACCTTAAGCTTTTTTTATTATTAGTTATATATTTTTTTACCAGACATCTCAAATAGTCTTTGAACAAGGAAACTACAAATTAAATAGAAATTATACATTGTGACACACCAGAAATCATGAGCATACCCAGTATACAAACCGTGGTTCCTAAATACTATTTTCAACTTTAAAAACAAAGATTCTAATCCTGGGAAAGGAAAGTATAATATTAGTTTAGAAATCTTGCTGTTTCAGAAAATAAGGAAGTTCTCAAAAAATGATGAGGACATATCAAACAAAAGAAGACAGGAGTTCCCATTGGTCAAAAATTCTGAAAATTTAAGGGCTACAATAAATATTAAAAGTATAGATCATACCTCACTGAATAAATGAAAGAATTCATACATTCAAATTGGTAAAAATACTTGAATAAATGGGAAAGAAGGGAAAATTACTGTGTCAATAGATATAAATGGATTGTCTCCAATGGATGCTAATTTAGTTGGTGAAAAGTCTGATGAATAAGAGGATATTTATATAATTTTAATGTATCTCCACACTTATTATCAACTAGAGGCCTCATGCATGAAATTCGTGCACTTGGGTATAGGAAGGCCCCTCAGCCCAGCCTATTCCCCTGCCAGCTTAAGCCAATCTCTGAGAAGCCAGGCTCCCTGCTCCATAGCTCTGCCTTGGAGGCAGGAGAGGCTCCCGCCATCATTGCTGTGCTCGCCAGCCATGAGCCTGGCTTCTGGCTGAGCGGCACTCCTCTTGTGGGAGCGCAGTGCATGGAGCGTCTGCCCCCTGATGGTCAGTGCACATTATAGCGATGGGTCATACTGGTTGTTGGGCTTTTATATATATAGAGTAGTTTGGGAAAATAAGTACTTATTTATTAGAAAGGAATAAACAGTAACTCACCAGTAGAGAATCTAGCTAATGAACATTGCCTAAAACAACTGGTTAATGTTAATGTCACTAGTATTTGGATATGCTGATATGATGCACTGAGATGAGCACAATAACACTTCTGTGACATTCCTGCCAAAATGCATAACCTGATCTAAGCATGAAGACTCACCCAAATTAAGGGACATTCTATAAACTAAGTAGCCTCAAAAAATGTCAAGATCAAGAGAGAGATAGAAAGGTTGATAAACTGTTCAAGACTAACGTAGACTAAAGAGACATGGTAGTTAACTATCACATGTGACCTTGTTGAATTTTGAACTGGGGCATGGGGGTAGGAGAAAGGTCGGAAATGATAAAAGATATTATTGGGGTAATTAATAAAATTTAAATATGCATTGTGGATTAAAAAATAGTATTATATCACTGATAAATATCCTGATCTTTATAATTGTATTGTGGTTATGTAAGAGATGATAGGAGAAATTTCAGGAGAAGAGAGCATGATGTTTTCAACTCATTCTCAAGTGATTCAGAAAAAAAATGCACATATAGAGTATTGTACAACAAACGGGGCAAAATAGATACAATCAATAATTCTGAGTTTCTTGCACTATTTTTCTAATTTTTCATAAGTTTATTATTAGTTATATATTGTAACTAATTTGTTAAATTATAACAAAACGTAAATTTACAAACACATACACAAAAAAATAAATTTCCTTACTGTTAAAAATATTTTCTTGTTATAGCTTGAAATGACATTTAAAGCAGATAATTTGATATGACTTCTTATTACTGTGTTGATATAAAAACAGACATTTCCTGAACAGCCTCTACTACCTAATTTCTGTTTGCTAATTACCAGACACCCAGGCAGGCTCTGCTTCCTTGCAACAAGGTGAGTTATATAACAGTTTTCTGTTATAAATGATCATACCGAGAACCAAAGTATCTTTCCCAAGTCACACAATAATGACAAAGAGGGAATTCAAACCCAGATCTGTTTGATTCCAAATTTTTGCCTCTATGTATTATGCTTGCTCACTTTAAAAATGTAGTCTAAATTTTTAAAAATAAAAATTATTTGCCATTATTTCACACTTGCAGTACAAAGAATTCCTAAATGTCCTTCACACAAGATCACACATCTGTTAACATTTACTACTTTGGCTTTATCCTTCTTTCTCTTTCCATAAACACATTTTTTGCTGAACTTTTTTTTCCCTTCAGATAAGTTACAAGCCTAATGCCCTTTTGCTCCTAAGTATTTTGGTGTACATTTCTTAAAGAAAAAGAACAACTTCTTATATAATCACAGTACAATGATGAAAATCAGGACATTCACAGTGAAATAATATTGAGATTATCAACTGTCCAAGCAGTCTTTTTACATAAAAGAAAATCCCAAAGTACAACTGTAATCAGTTGTGATGTCTCTTTGGTCTCCTTTAATCAGGAACATTTCCTATATACTATATATATATATATATATATATATATATATATATATATATATATATATAAATTGATTTCAGAGAGGACAGGATAGGGAGAGAGAGAGATAGAAACATTAATGTTGAAAGAAATCATTGATTGGCTGCCTCCTGGACACCCCAAAATGGGGATTGAGCCCACAACTCAGGCATGCGCCCTGATTGGGAATCAAACCATGACTCCTGGTTCATAGGTCGGTGAACAACCATTGAGCAATACTGGCTGGGTCACTTCCTGTATGTATACTTCTACATGCTAATACTGTCTTTTTTTTTTTTTTTTTTTTTTTTTAAATATATTTTATTGATTTTGTACAGAAAAGGAAGGGAGAGGGATATAGAGTTAGGAACATCAATGAGAGAGAATCATTGACCAGCTGCCTCTTGCACACCCCCTACTGGGGATATGCCTGCAACCAAGGTACATGCATGCCCTTGACCAGAATCGAACCCGGGACCCTTCAGTCCCCAAGCCGACGCTCTATCCATTGAGCCAAACCGGTTTTGGCTACATGCTAATATTTTAAATAAAAACTCTATTAACCTGCTTAAGTGTTGTAGGTACCTACACTATTTAATATCTAAGTCATATTTTTTGTTGTTTTTAATCCTTACATGAGGATATTTTCCCATTGATCTTTAGAGAGAGTGGAATGGAGGGGAAGAGAGAAACATCGATGTGAGATACAGACACATCGATTGGTCGCCTCCCCCATACACATCCCAACCAGGGCCGGATAGAGCCTGCAACCAAGGTTCAGGTCCTTAACCAAAATCGAACTGGGGACCCTTCTAGTCCGCTGCTCTATCCACTGAGGGAAACCACCTAGGCTCTAAGTCATATTTTAAAGTAACAACCTCAGTTCATAATATCTAGCTGTATGTACTCTAGGGCTGCCAACTCACTCAAATTAGGGTATATGGTATAACCGAGTACATTTAATGTCTTTGTATTTTATAAACCTTTCCATTCAATGGCTCAATAAACAATCTGTTGCTGCTTCTAAGGATCATAAAAATCCCTTCCCATACAAGTATTTTATTGGAGATGTATATAAAAGTTCAGAAATTTTACCTTTTGTATCAGGATGTATCCAGGATGTTGCACAATTAATTTTCAAAGGGCAGCCATCAAAAACTTTGGAAAAACATGCTCCCATCTTATTTATAAAAAAAAAAATGTTGACTTATTTGATAAATAATTTTGTATATTCTTAGAAAATGGCTAAGATTATTATGAAATGTTAAACTGACTCTTATTTCCATATATTTATAGCTTCATTACAAAACAAGATTCATATTTCTATGTTATTTAACCTCTTCTACCAATAGGGTCTCATAATCTTTCCTGTGTAACCCATATTTTAGGGCAAAAATATCAAATTTATTAAAACATCTACTCATGTTAAAAATTTTAAATCACTGCTTATTTTTAGGACTAACAATAATGTGAAACAATGGATGATTTTACTTAGTAATCATTGTGCTATAACTCTTTAATAGACTGATATTTATACTATATGTTAGACTTTTACTAAATAAAAAAGTACAATTTATAAAGCCTCCTATTCACATGGTAGGTTCTACTGAAAGACCCAAGAACAAGCATTAACAAAAAAGTCTGTTTTTTTTTCATTATGCATAGTTCAAAGTGAAAATGGTTTCATTTGTAGAAAAATATTTAACCCATATAATGAAGAGGACACAGTACTATTAATATCATCACATTAAAATTAAATCGGCCTTTGTAGGCTAATCTGAGAACCCAACTGCCCATTATTTATAAAAAGTGAAACTCCAAATTCTATCCAACTCACTCAAATTAGGGTATATGGTATACCCAAATACATTTAATGTCTTTGTATTTTATAAATCTTTCCATTCAATGGCTCAATAAACAATTTGTTGCTGCCTCTAAGGAGATAAAAACTGGAAAGTAATTCATATAAAAATATTCCTTACCAGCACTTTTGGAGTGGGTGGGAGGCCATTGATGACCGGTTTCTGGGGTTAAAAAAAAAAAAAAATTAATACTGTAAGACCTCTTAAGCCTTAAAAAAACTTTATAAATTTTGAAATTTAATTATTTAAATTCTCCAATTTAATAGACTATGCCCCTTATATGATAAATACAGCATTAGTTACAACTAATAACCAAGTGCCTGTTATACCTACAGGGAACTCTCGCTTGTCCTTTTTTCGTGGGAGCTGTGGTGCTTGTGCTGATCCTTCTGTATTTTCGCTGATCAGTTTTGAAATACCATCACCATTTCCTAAAAAGAATCATGGTTAAAAGGTGAAGAACCATGCAAATAAGTACTTTCCTTAAAAAACAACTTTCCCTTCCCCCCACTATGTTTTTTTCAGTTTTACAGCTTACATTCAGGTGCACAACATAGTGGTTAGACAAGTACATACTTCACAAAGTGATCGCCTCACTCCCCCATATCACAAGTACCCACTTGGCACCATATTTAGTTATTAGAGTATTACTGACAACATTCTCTATGCTGTATTTTATAAATAGAGCATATTTTATAACCAACCATTTGTACTCTTCATCCCTTCGCCTTTTTCATCTAGCCTTCCAAATCACTCCTCACCTCTGGCAACATCAATGTGCTCTCTATATCTATGAACCTGTTTTTATTTTGTTTGTTCATTTGTTTTTGTTTTTCAGATTACATATATAAGTGAAATTATATGGTATTTGTCTTTTTCTGATTTATTTCACTTAGCATAATATTGGATAGTCCTTTATTGGGAAATATTCTCTGCCAGACAGGTTAAGGTATCTTTCGTTCCTTTCTCTGGATTCTATACAGGCAGCATAGCATCTTTAGCAGTGATCTAAATGCATGAAAACAACAAATGTCTTTTCATATGCGAGAAAAACAAAATCTGATCTATTGATGGTGATATTCAAGGCCTTTCATAATTAAACTTCATTCTATCTTTTTGGTCCAATCTCTTAGTACATACCCTTTAGAAGTTCACATTTCTACCATATTAGACTATATTTCCAATATATTAAAATTTTCATGCTTCAGTACATTTGTTTATTCTTTCTTGCTTTCCAAGAATGCCGGCCAGCACTGGCTCCACCTACTGAAGGCTCACCAAGCCCTTAAATACTTTGCAAGGGCCCACTTCCTCTCCCTTATCCTCATCTCTCTTAGATATGTATCATTCTCTATTACATATAGTTAATTACTATAGAAGACACTTATACAAACTATCTTGCCTAATGTTATGTGTACATAACTTCAAAGGTATAACTTCTACTATAGATCCTGAACTGCTGGATGGTAGAACATCCAATCATCTTTCTAGATCCTTCAATATTTAGTGATGAATCAAATTAGAGTTGAGTTGGACTGAATCTATGTAAATATTAAAATCCCATGTGGTGCCGGGACCGGTTTGGCTCAATGGATAGAGCGTCGGCTTGGGGACTGAAGGGTCCCGGATTCGATTCCGGTCAAGGTCATGTACCTTGGTTGCGGGCATATCCCCAGTAGGGGGTGTGCAAGAGGCAGCTGATCGATGACTCTCTCTCATCGATGTTTCTAACTCTGTATCTCTCTCCCTTCCTCTCTGTAAAAAAATCAATAAAATATATTAAAAAATAATAATAAAAAAATAAAATAAAATAAAATCCCATGTGGAATTTTAAAAAAATTTCACAAAGATTTAAAGACTAATAAAATTGACTAAAGAAAAAAGACATTCTTTAAAACATGATCAAAATGGCTTTCTTTTCAATTGTCACTTTCATTTATTTGCCCAGATCTTAATATCTAGCTGTATGTACTCCAGAGCTGCCAATACTGTTAGCCATACCAATAGAGGAAGTCTCAGCTACAGGAACACAACTTGGGCTACTCTGTCTTCTGAGAACTTGGGGAGCTCTGTTCTCTGAGTCAGGGCAACGTTTTATAGTTGATGATTTTTCTTCATCTAGAAGGTTGTCTTCATGGTAACTGTTTATTCTTGGCTAGTGACAGTAAGATACAAAAGTACTTTAATAATTTGAATATAAAACAGTAACACTTCATTATCATTATGTATCAAAGACTTTAGGGGGAGGAGGACATGCCTATTTTTCTTTCTTCTACAGAGTTCAATTCACTGAATTAAATATAAGCAAAGTAAGCAAGAGTTGAGTTACTGTCTCAACATAGCCATAAATTTGCCATGTGATTTTTAATCAACCATAGCTTAAAGTTGATAAAATTTTTATAACTAATAAAGGTATGTAAATAAGGCATAAAATATTTAATATCTAGAAACAAGCAAGAAAATGATTTAATGAAGTATGACTTTACTGAAATGTCAAATTGTAGTAATAAAGCAGGAATGTAATGATTCCTCTCCATGCAGCCAAGTATTTTTTCAAGTGAGTAATAATCTACTTTTGCCTTTTTCTAATAGCTATTAAAATGTTACATTTCTTATGAAATCTTCTCTAACATATACTTTACATCTCCATACCACCTCTCAATCAAAACTGCATCTAAAATATACTTTAAAAATTTTTGAACAAATTCAATAACATTATTTTAAAGTTTTAATTACTTTCTTATTTAAACAGATTATTATTTAAAATCTATCAACAGCTCACCTTAGGAGGAAGGGGAGGTGGTATTGCCCGTTTTGAGGTTGATCTAATATAAAAAGAAAAATGCAATTTAGATGATGATAAATTATCATAACAAATACACTATTAAATGTGATTTAAAATCCATTTATATTTAGGGAACAGAAAATACAATTAGATCATGGTACATAGTATTTTAAAAATCTATAAGAAAACCTAAGATCTCATTCTGTGAAACTGTATAACAACAACAACAAACAAACAAACAAACAAACAAAAAGACAACAACACAGAGATTTTTATACCCTGAATAAAAGGCTTTTTTACTTTAGAGCTATGGTTGGTAACATTTAATACATAATAAAAACTAAATTAAACATAGTAGGAAAACCCACAGCCAGAATCTTAGAGTTGAAACCCACAGTGAATCACAGTTTCAAATGGCCATAGCAAGTCCTTTGCTGCTCTAATTGGGGTAAACAGATCAGCAACATTAGCATCACCTAGAAACTTTTATAAATGCACTTCCTAGCCCACTGAATCAGAATCTGCATTTTAACAAGATCTACAGTGAGCATCCAGGCACATCAAAGATTGAGAATCACTGATCTAGCCTACTGGTCCCATACACTTATCTACAATCACTACAATCAATTGGAAAGCTTTCAGGATTCTTAAATTCCAGTCCCGAAGACTGTGTTCAATAGGCAGGGTTGGCAAACTTTTCCTGTAAAGGGCAGACAGTAAATGCTGTAGGCTTTCCAAACCATACAGTGGTCACAACTACTTAACACTTTTGTTGTATCATGAAAGCAGCCATAGATAATAAACAAACAAATGAGCATGGTGATGTTCCAATAAACATTCATCTATGGACACTGAAACTTCACATAATTTTAGAATATAACAAAATATCACTGTTTTATTTTTTTCAATCATTAAAATATGTAAATACCATTCTAGTTTGTGGGCTGTACAAAAAATAGGCAGTGGGTCAAATGTGGATTATAAACCAGTTTACCAACCCTAGATTGTAGGTCTAATTTGGGAGCCCAGGGATCTGTATTTCAAAAAGCTCTCTAAGTACTGCAATGCATAAACAGATTTGAAACAACTCACCTAGGCTATCCCTGTCAATTACTGCGGGAAGACAGGTCTAGAATATGAAGTAACTATATTGCAGAGATGAAACTGGGACTTTTTGACTTCAACTATAGTATTTTTTTTCTCCCAGGATGTCTTGTGGTTCATCTTTCAGTATATTAACATTACATATACTATATTCTAATTTAAAGTACAAAAATCAAAAATCTTAAGAATCTACACATAATGCATTTTGGTAATAAAAATAAGTCAGAAATTTTACAATGAGATGAAGCCTCGTACAACTTTTTTAAAAATGAAAATGAAAGCTTATTAGCATAAATCAAATAAAATAAAATGTTATATTAGTGAACAACTTACTTTCCAGTATTTGCACCATCAAAAAAAGGATTCCACTGTAGTACAAAGTTTGGGTCTGATGATACTCCCTGTGCAAGTAAAAACTGAGTTTAAAATGTTACCTTAAAACAGATACTAATCATTTTATTTGATTCAAAAAATCATTTAGTTCTTGATTGCTGATCATCTTGGCTTTCAATAAATTTTTTAATCTCCAGCTAGATTAACTGTCATTTGATTTGACGTATTTAGGTCAATGACTCATCAGTTGGCTAAAACTTAGAAAGTCCATATACATAATATATATAGCTTCAAGTATAACAAGCTCTCTTCACCAATAAGCTCATTTGGTCAGAAGTAAAACAGAAAAATCTAACTTTGAATCATTTGCATCACTACTCCATTAGCACTGAGAACTAAACATCATACCATCATTAATTTATTGTGCCATTATTTTTTCCTACTAGTACAGACATTGAGTATCAGCAATGTACAGGGTAGGGCAAAAGTAGGTTTAATTGTTCATATGGAAAATAATATAGTAATTAAATAATATAATAATTAAGAATAAATTCTGTTTTGTGTACTCACAACTGTAAATCTACTTTTGCCCCATATTGTATATAATAAGAACACCACTTCTAAAGGTTAAGTAAGATGAAGAGGTCCATGAATAGAAGACAACTATTCTAGAAACTATTATTTCATTAATATAAAGTAGGTTAAGATAATAACGAGGCTGACTAATAATATCTTGTTCTATCTACTTTCAGATAAGGAAGGAGTTAACTAAAAAGCAATTGCAAAACAAGAGCAATAGTTTAAAAATAACCTATATAAACAGAAAACTATTAAAAATAGTAAGCCAATGCAATAATGTATGACAAATCAAAAAGCATCAATAAGAAAAAAATTCTGAGAGCTTAAAACTGAGCATCAAAATCCATATACAGTACTTAATAACTTCATGCAAGTTCTTCAAAAGACTCAGAAGGGTCCAAATAAATGGTTAAAATGTTATATTACACATTTCACCTTAGGAAAAAATACACCTAAATGTAGGCTTTTTTAATTTTAATGTGTAAAGTACACTATCAAAATTAATGCTTAAGAGAACATTACTTTGTTCCATGGCCAAAGTACGCATAACGACAAGTTTTCTAATTTTAGTGTGTAAAATACTTAAAAGTCATAACTCCTACCATTTCATCCCGTGCCTCTGTTTCTTTTCTCAAAGGAGGTTCAAACTGTAACTTGTCAACTGCAAAATATATAATAGATATTTACAAAATCTATTTTACCGGAAAGTGAGAGAGAAGAGAGGAAAGAAGAAAAGACAAAATCTCTCTCTTTTTTTTAACCATAAGAGTACTCCTTACTTTATGCTTACCAAAAGAAAGTAACAATGTGGAATCATCCTAACTACTCTATTAATTCTTGGTCTGAGTCCAAAAATTAATAGAACTTTATTAGTATAAGAGATTTTTAAAAACTAAGAGTAGATAACAAAGGATTTTAAAAGATTTAAAAACATTTTAAGGATGTTCTCTAGGCTGTAGACTCAGACAAATTTAAGCTATAACTTTATGGTAGAGGTGAACCACTGACCCCCAAATTACTAAAAATTCTCTAAACCCCCCCCCCCCCCCCAATCTCTGCCTGGTTTAGCTCAGTAGATAGAGCCGGCGGACTTTAGAGTCTCAGGTTTGATTACAGTCAAAGGGACGTGCAGGAGGCAGCCAATCAATATCTCATTATCGATGTTTCTATCTCTCTCTCCTTTCTTCCTCTCTGAAATCAATAAAGATATTTAAAAAAAACCAACAACCCACAAATGATACTTTGTCAAGTTAATATCAAGAAGGCCTTGCTTCACATAACACAAAACCCCAGTAATACAAAAAAAGACGTATAAATTAGACTACATTAATCGAATACTATACAGCTGCAATTGCCCTAGCTGGTTTGGCTCAATGGATAAGAGTGTTTGTTGCCTGGGGACTGAAGGATCCCAAGTTCAATTCCAGCCAAGGAATTAGAAAAAGCTTTGTAATGGTACATCAATCTTGCTACTTTTCTGTCTGGTATCTGAAGCCTAGAGATTTAATTTAGAATTATGTAAGAAGGTAGCATAATAACATTAGAAATCTGTGACTAACAAAGAGATAAAATCTTGAATTATTGGTTTAACTATAAATAGACAGGACTAAAACAACTGATATGGAAGTATATTTCTAACTTTCCATTGACCTATATTTCTGAAGCTGTATCCAGAAAGCTAGAAATTTTTGGATTTAAGAAAACTGATCTGAAATGCTCATTTGCAATAATTCTAATTAACCTAAATACTTAATACATTATCTTTCTCCATTATGATTTATAATTTATATCTTATTGTACTATAAACTACTTTAAATCTTTTTTAAACAAGTATGCATTTAAATCAATATACCCATACTTAAAACTTCTTTGCAATTCTATTTTCCAAATTACTATGGCTAAAATGACAAATATTGTTGTTACAAAACTTTTATCTGTCAATGATTTATTGAATAAAAATCAATTTCCTTTTATTTGTTTATTTAATCCTCACCTGAGGGTATTTTTCCATGATTTTTTAGTGAGAATGGAAGAGAGAGGGAGAGACAGAGAGAGAAACATCGATGTGAGAGTGAAACATCAAGAGACACATCGACTGGTTGCCTCCCGCACACTCCTCAACTCAGGCTGGGGATTGAGCCTGGAACCGAGTTATTTGCCCTTGACTGGAATTGAATCTGAGACCCTTCAGTCTGCAGGCTGACTCTCTAACCACTGAGCAAAACTGGCTGGGGCAATTTCCCTTTTTAAACATGCATTTTAGAAAAGACTCACGTTAGTGTTAATGTTAAACTGCCTAGAAAAACTAAAACCAACCCAAATATCCAACAATAAGAAACTGTTAAACTATAAAGTTGATAACTCAATGAACAGGTTTATAAAGGCTAGACTAATATGAAGAAAATACTTAAGTAAAATTTTATGTATATTATATTAATAAATTCAGCCACCTAAAAACGCATGAAGAAAATTCAGCAAAATATTATCTGTGGGTTGACATGAATGATGTGATTGTAGGCAATGTTGATTTTCTAGTTTTTCATTTTGCAAATTTTCTGCAATGGACATATATTACTTTCGTAATTAGGAAAAGAAAAACTATTTTATTGCAACCCATTATAAACCAGAAAAGCAACCTCTATTTTAGAGGTATTCTGATATGTGAAATTGTGTAGCCTCAACTGGTTTGAGACTTTATTATTCCAAAAAACCACAAGAACACCCAGCTCAACCCTTCAAACCACCAATTGAAAATATATACCCAAACACATACAATTTATTTCTGAAGCTGTCCGTTCAGCTCTGGCATTCCTGTTTGTAGATCTAATGGTATGACGAATGATTGCATGGGGCTGTGGATATAAACATACAGTTAAAAATTTTACTTTTCAATTAGTTTTATTCAATATTATTTTTTATTAGTTTCAGATGTACAGTATAGTGGTTAGACAATCATATAATTTACAAGGTATCCACCTGATATTTCAAGTACCCACCTGGAACCATACTTTTTACAATATTATTGACTATACTAGAGGCCCGTTGCAGGAAGATTCCTACAAGAATAGGGCTTTCCTGTGGGCTTCACTCCCTTCTTTGCTGCCTCGCTCCCTCCCTTCGCCACCACTTTGCTCCCTTCTGCAGTGCTTGGCTTCCTTCTATGCTGTCTTCAGTCTTATATGCCATCTTTGTTGGGTTAATTTGCATACTCACTCCTGATTGGCTGGTGGGCATAGCAGAGGGATGGTCAATTTGCATGTTTCTCTTTTATTAGTGTAGAATCCCTATGCTGTACTTTACACTTCCAAGACTATTTTGTGATGACCAATTTGTAGTTCTTAATGCCTTCACATTTTAAAAAGAGATTTCAATGATAAAGTTCAAAGTTTCTCTTTTTAAATTAAATGTTCACTTATCAACAAACATCACTACCTACTAATAAATTATAGGACAAAAATTAAAAAAATATAATGAACACCAAAGTACTTTAAAAGTTTATTCACTTAGCCCTGGACAGGTAGCTCAGTTGGTTCACGTATCATCCTGATATGCCAAGGTTGCAGGTTTGATTCCCGGTCGGGGCCCATACAAGAAGCAACCAATGAATGCATAAATAAGTGGAACAAATTGCCCTCCCCTGCTGGCCATCTTGTGGCAGCCATCTTGTGGTGATGTGAGGTCAGCCATCTTGTGAGGATGTCACACGAGGGCATTGTGCAAGTGAGTGACGCCACCTAGTCTTTTATTACATAGGAGGATATTAGACTGCAAATACTCCTTACCTCAAAGTCATCATCATCTCCTTCAGTGTAATGTGAATGGTTGTCTGGATTGTTCACTTTGTCCAAAAGTTCAACTGCTAGGGCCCTAGAGAGACCTGGCTGTCCTACAAATGTATGCTAAGTGAAAACAAAACAATTTCATGAGTATGCTTTTACATCTATGGCTTACAGAAATGTTATTTATATTTTTCCATTCAGTATATATCAGAGATAAATATATGGGAGCCTATTAGAACAAATAAATTATTAATCATGGAATCCATAATTATATATTATAAAGCTAAAGAATCTTTGTGGAATAAGTTTATGACATTAACATATAAGGCAGTAAAGGTAAAACTGGCTATACCAATGACATTCATTACTCATGTCATTATGCTGACAAAATTAATAGTTTTCTTAGACTGCTATACTCATTTTTTTGTACTATCAAAATATTTAACAAACACATATACACATAGAGCATTCTATAAATTAACAGAAGAAACCAAGAAAAGCAATTTTAATATTACAGCAATATTTTAATAGTTTCTCTATGGCAGTGGTTGGCAAACTACAAACAGTTCATGGGCAAAATATGGTGCACTGCCTCTTTGTAAATAAAGTTTTATTGGGTGTTAAAGCCACACCCATTTGTATGTGCTATCTATGGCTGCTTCTGTGTTACAAGAGTAAAATTGAAGAGTTGTGGCAGTGGCTATACAGCCCACAAAGCCTATAATATTTACTGTCTCTTTACAGAAAGTTGGCTAGCCCCTGCTGTAAGAGATCACTGACATTTTTATGTTAAAAAATCTAAATACTTTTGTTCTAGTGATATACCTAATTGAGATATGACTATAGAAGATTCCCCTATAATTTCAATGACTTACAGTCAGAAGTCTTTCAGCAGTTGGTCTTTTTTTTGGGTTTTTGGTTAGTGCTATTTTGACAAAATTATGGAATGTTGATGACCTTAAAATAAAAGGAAACATGTACAAAATATTTCATTAATGTTAGTTTTTTGGTGTTACTAAATAAAGTTAACTTACAAGTAGTTAAAAAGTCTGAAACACATGATTTTTTCCCCTTAGGTCTCTTAACTCTATAATAAGCTAAAAAAACTAAACCCAAAGCACAGATATTCCTTGATGTTCTGGTCAGTGTCACTTAGTTGGCTGAGCACTGTCCCATGCACCAGAAGGTTGCCAGTTAGGTTCCTGGTCAGGGCACATACATGCCCAAGGGGCTCAATCCCCAGTAGGGGGCGTGCAGGAAGCAGCCGATTGATGTTTCCTTTTCACATGGATGTCCCCACCCCCTTTTTTCTCCCCTCTTTTTCTCTCCTTCTCTCTCCATTTCCCCCCCTCTCTAAAAAAAACCCAAAAAACAATGTATATAAAAAAGAAGAAAATGTGTGTTAGTTCCATATCTTAGGTAAAATTCAATTAGTTAACAGAATAGTAATATATGAGCTCTAAAAAATACAGTGAAATGCATAGCTGTATCACAAGATTCATAATCTATTAAACTTAGAAATCAAAATGACCTTTTCTTATTGCCTAATTTATATAGTATGTAAATGTTCTGCTACATCAAAAGAGTTGAACGGTGAGGAGAAAGGGTGGGTAATGTAAAAGATTATTTAAAGCCTTTAAAAGGTCATTGAATTTCTTTTTTAAAAAAAATATATTTTATTGATTTTTCACAGAGAGGAAGAGAGAGGGATAGAGAGCTAGAAACATCGATGAGAGAGAATCATCTATCAGCTGCCTCTTGCACACCCCCTACTGGGGATGTGCCCGCAACCAAGGTACATGCCCTTGACCGGAATCGAATCCGGGACCTTTCAGTCTGCAGGCCGACACTCTATCCACTGAGCCAAACCGGTCCCGGCTAAAAGGTCATTGAATTTCTTAGAAACAAGGGCAAAGAAGGAGTGATTTTAGCAAGCAGAAGAGTTCCTGCCACCTGAGTTGATGAAGCAGGGAAAATGACATAAATTAAATGAATTATGCTTGGATTATTAATAGCAAAGATGAATATTTGCACCATAGCCAAAATTCTACTGGAAGAGGGATTGGGCAAGAACCAAAGCGAATAACCTTACTTATTACCAATGACAGCAAACACAGCATTTCTCTTCAGAAAAATCAAATTACTGCATTACATTTAGTGATTTGTGGAAAAGATAACATGGAGTTACATAGTATCTGAGACTGGCAAAGGTATCCAATGGTAATGACTCCTCGGATTCTGTGAATTCAGTGATTATAGCTAATAGTTATTCATTCCTGAATGAATATTCAGTGCCTCCTGCCATAAACCCTTCCAGTTTTAATTGCTTAGGAACTTGAGGTGATAAGGAATAGGAAGAAACCTGTGTCAATACAAAAGAATACAACTAGCAGAATATAAACCTTTTTGGAGAACAGGACTCTCAGAATCTGAAATAAGATATGAACATACAGAATTTGAGGGGGGCCCATGAACCAAAAAAGAGACCCATGTAAATCTAGATGAAAAAATAACTGAATTTAAGAACTTGGAAACTTATTTGCATACTTTTTAAAAATTAAATGTATGGAAAGACATTATTAGGTAAACAATTTTCAATTTTTATCATCCAACTGAAGATGTCTTTATGAAATATAAGAATATTCAAACTGCTTACTTTGCATAAGAAGGTATTAGAATGAAAATATGTAATAACCTTTTTTTTTTTTTTTTTTTTGAGGGCAGGGGAGGAAGGAGGGAAGAGAGAAAGAGAGAGAGAGAAATATACCTATGCAAGAGAGAGACATTGAATGGTTGCCTCCCGCATGCTGGGGATCAAATTTGCAATCAAGTATGTGCCCTTGACCAGAAATCAAATCCAAGACTCTTTGGTTCTCAGGCCAACACTCTAACCACTGGGACACAGGCCAGGGCAGTAATAACCTTTTAGAATATTAGGGAAGGAAGATAGATAAAAGTAATTGAAGATTAATTTAAGGGTCATGATATCTGGGAAAACTTTTCATATCTCTTCCACAAAAGTCACCAAGTAATTAATGAAAGTACAGAGTAAAAATAAGACTTTTCAAAGTCAATGTATTTATTTCAAATCTTTTCCTCACCACATTGCTTTCCCCAAAATGCCAAAACATAAGAACATGATCAGAATTTTTTAAGAGAGCAACACATTATAAAGGAACACTGACCAGAAAAACCTAGAGCCTTACCACAGCTCTGTAAGTAAAGTAGATGTGTAACTTTAGGTAACTGTTGTTTAATGCCTCTGGGCTTCAGTTTCATTATCCATAAAATCAAGAACTAAACCTGTATCCCTTTCAAATGTAAAACTCTATAAATCTCTATATTATTTAACTTACCATTTTGTTTTGTCTTTTAGTTTTGGGGGCTGAAAATTACTTTTGGACATTAAGAAGAGGGCCCTGAAATAAAAACTTCAGTTAAAGAGCAATACCAAAATACTTCAATTACTACATCTAATAATCAGATTAATATTCTTTAATAAATTTATACAAGATTACTACATAGGTAGACACTGATGAAACTAGTATAAAATATGGAAGTTAATTTTTTTATATTTTGGAAAACTATGGAAAATTTCCCCTGGCTAGAGAAAGGATCTTTAAATTTCAAACAAATTCTTATTCACATAGCAAAGCTACCAAATGTTAGAGTTTTTGATCATACTGGCAGATAAATAACTGATATTTTATCTTAGGTAAAAATCTATATAAATTGTATATCATTCTGTAACACACATCTAACATTAGGTTTTATGTTTAACTGAAGATTTGTCTATATAATTATTTTGGATCTATAGGCAAATTATGTTGACTTTACAGTTTGTTTCCCTTTTAGGCCAATAATTTTCCACACCCTCTCATTATGAATGATACAGAAGTCAACCTACAAGAGAACTTTCTTTATCAGTGAGTCTACCTGTGACCCATTTTCTATGTTTTCTATGGACTAAAAGGGTTGAAGAATAAAGGATTTAAGAAGAAAGTTCTAAAATGTTCTATTTCCCTAATTCCTATAAAACCCCTTCCAGGCTTCTAAGCAAACTCTTTAGCCTTTTTTTTTTTTTTTTTTTTTTTTTTTTTTTAATATTAAAGATATTTTCTCATTTTAAAAGCTAAACAGCGGTCAGCAAACTGCAGCTCGCAATGTTAGTTCCATCTATTAAGTAAAATTCAATTAATTAACAGAATAGTAATATATGAACTCTAAAATAATCTATAAACTAATGAGTTTGCCGACCACTGGGATGGGGCTTATTCACAAGGAACAACAACAGCCTGTAATTATTGGAATCAAGAGTCTAGAACAGTGGTCAGCAAACTCATTAGTCAACAGAGTGGCAAACCGTGGCTCGTGAGCTGCATGTGGCTTGTGAGCTGCAGTTTGCCGACCACTGATCTATGATAATAAAAGCATAATATGCTAATTAGACTGGACAGCCGAACATCCTTCTGGACAAAGCTGTGTCGGCTGTGAGGGCCAAGGGCAGGCAGCCATGGCTGGCAGCGGCAGCAGCGGTGGGGTGATGGGAGCAGCACTTTCCCCTGATTGGCCAGTTGCCTCCCCTGAGGACTCCTAGACTGTGAGAGGGGGGCAGGCCGGCCGAGGGAGGGAGCCCCCTGCCAGTGAGTGCACAAGTTTTCATGCACCAGGCCTCTTGTTCATATATAAAGGAAAAGTGAAAAAGAAATAAATAATGGTCTATACTCCTACAACCCTAAGATATTATTTGAAATTTTCTGTTCTTCTTTTTAGTCTTTATCTTTATAATAACCAATTACTACATCACTGTATTAGGTAATATTATGTTCTGCTTTTTCTTTCTTTTTTTTTTTTAACTAATAATCATTTTCCCATGTTGCTTTGTTTTATGTATAGCTGCCCTTAACTACTAAATAATTTGCTTAACAACTCACCAATTACTGGATATTTAGATTCCCATCTCCCCCATTATCCAGAAATGGATAATCCTTAGGTTGTTCTTTTTCCTGAATAATTTCCCAAGTATAATTTTCTTAGTGAAATTACTGAAACATTTGGGTGGCCATAACAAATAATGTCTAAATTACTTTTTTAAAAGTCTAAATTTTTTGACATTTCACCTAAATGTAGATATCTCTTAACTTGTATAACTTTAGTTGCTTGTGAAGTCAAATAGTTCTCCATGTTTCTTTAGTACTTGCTCATAAACAATTTATATTTTGCCTAGAAAATATTTGAACGAGTTCCTTATGTAATATATATTATTCTGTCTATTATGTGAAGAAAACAAATTACACATTCTTTTGATTTTCTTTTTAACTTTATATACTATTTACTTTAAGTGTTTAAATTTTAGTCCAATTTATCTTTTCATTCAAAATATTAAAAACTTTCAAAGGCCCTCAAATTTTTTTTCTGAGACAATTTAACCTAAATGCAAATGACAATTATACTAAGCACGCCTCTTTATCTCTAGGAAAAGTAAAAAACAACAACAAAAAACATGCTGAAATGAACAACAAAAATTTCATATGCAGTCTATCATGTTTATGAATCTACTTAAGACAAAAAAAGAAACAAGTTCAACTGACAGAAAAAGGAATGTAATGAGTTAAAAAAGATTTCAGACAGTATACACTGTTTGCTCCTTGTTGTTTTAGAAATAGTAATACAAGCGAGCAGGGTTTAGATGAGATTATCCTTAAGTCCCTTATAACACCCCTACCATTTTAACATACTTGAAAATTAGCTTGGAATATACAATTTATCAGTATCTCACTTCCCAGAAGACCTATTAATAACTGCATAATTTTAAATAGTGAGAACACCTCATTGGATGAAGATCAAACATAGGTGGTTGAAGTTCTCCAAGTTCAATTGCTGTTATTCCTACTGCCCAGATATCACAGAGCTGGTTGTAGCCACCATTCTTTTCTACTGCTGCGACTTCTGGGGCCATCCTAGAAGGAATCAGTGAATATATCATTAAAAAAAAAAAAAAAAAAAAAAAAAAAAAATATATATATATATATATATATATATATGAAATCTGCTACTTGTCATATTTACTAGACTTCCCGGAGGAAAAGGAGCTGAGAGACATTTGCTAAGAAGAAACTTTATTTTAGCCGAAACCGGTTTGGCTCAGTGGTAGAGCGTCGGTCTGCGGACTGAAAGGTCCCAGGTTCGATTCCGGTCAGGGGCATGTATGTTGGTTGTGGGCACATCCCTGGTAGGGGGTGTGCAAGAGGCAGCTGGTCGGTGTTTCTCTCTCATCGACATTTCCATCTCTCTATCTCTCTCCCTTCCTCTCTGTAAAAAAATCAACAATTAAAAAAAGAAACTTTATTTTAAAAGACTTATAAAGACCTTATACATACAAAGACACACACATTTTTAAAATTCATTATTTAAAAACCTTGAATCCTCTCCTCTGAAATCTAGTGCTCTGAGGAAAACTTGTGTTGTCTTATTTAGTTTCTGTTTTATAAATCTTGTTATGTAATATAGGAAAAGAAAAAGAACACTTAAATCCCTGTGTAAGTCAGAGAAAAGTTCCCAAAGGAGTTGAGACTTAAAGAATGAATTATCAGGGAGTTAAGAGCAGTAGGAAGTTGGGACATTTTAATCAGATGAAACAAGCGGAAATGAAGGGAGACAAGAAGAGAGCATGAGATATCTGGAGAAGTGACAGGACAGTGCTACTCAATGTATGATATGGGGCATAAATGGCTTGCTATGAGTCTGTGATAAGTACAGAAATTGAGAGTAAGCATTTACTCTCACCAAATACATAATCATTTTTCAGTTTGTCATTTTTAATTTATTTTACTGAAAGGTCATTCATTATAGACAGTTTGAGCGGGACAATAAAGTATTTGAAAAATGAACATCAGAGATGGTGATAGATGGACCATGAATGGATTACTGATTATATAAGAAATTCAGACTTTATTGTGAAAATAAAAGGTTAATTATGGGAGTAAGCTTGATCTAAAACTCATGGCAACATGAAGGACAGTGTGAGAGGAGGTGAAACCAGCATTATGCACATGAATTAGGTTATTTTAAAAGCACAAGGGAAAAAAAAGGATTTTTTGAAGTCAGTGGCAGAGGGGACAGAATAAAAGGAGTTAACTACAGAGAATGATGTATTAAATATTTATGTATATATAAGTATAGCTATTATCAAACAGCTGTTTTGAATATATACAAGACTGAAGGTCAACTGAGTAGTGGAGTTAGAGTTATCTACTTGGCAGTCTGTGATGTATAATGATGGTATCTGAAGTTATAAAGCATAGATGATATTGCTCAGGGGAAATATTCTTTTATTTTTTAATGTTTAGTATCTTAAAATGAATTTATATTTATATTGAATACTCAAAAGGTAGAAGTTGCTTTTATATGCACTTAGGTTACAAAAGGTTATACAACAAATGTCTTTCAGTTAAAATGTGGTTAAGAATATAAAATAGCTGAAACTGGTTTGGCTCAGTGAATGGAGCGTTGGCCTGCGAACTGAAAGGTTCCAGGTTCGATTCCAGTCATAGTCATGTACCTTGGTTACGGGCACATCTCCAGTGCGAGGTGTGCAGGAAGCAGCTGATCCATGTCTCTCTCTCATCGATGTTTCTAATTTTCTATCCCTCTCCCTTCCTCTCTGTGAAAAGTCAATAAAATATATATTTAAGAAGGATATAAAATACATATACTAAAAATGCCAACATGTACATGCTCTTTGCAATGAAGAAAATAACCACCATGGAGCAAAGGTGACTGAAGGCAAATTTCATAGAAGAAAGGAACTGAGCTAGAACCCAGAAAAAGCATATGGATTTCATCTCCTCTGCCCACTGGAATCAGGTGTTAGTGGCTAACTGCAGCACCAAGCTGACCAGGACTGCTGCACTTCCTGTTTCAGTGGAAAACAGAGATGTGACCAGTCAGCCATGCCACTCTTCAGACAAAACAGGAAAGTAATAACCAATATCTGGAATAGTCACGGTACAAAAAAATGGTAATTTTGACTAAAGAACAGTGTTGATTGGGAAGGACAGTCACAGGAAAGAGATTAAAGAGGGAAATAGGCATATAAAGAATGAAATTTTATAGGTAACCTAATTCACCTGTTTTCTTTTAACTTTATTTAAATGAGATTTATCAGGGCTTTTTTCTGTGGTTGAAAGTGATATATGTTGACTGAAGAAATTTGGAATATATGACAAAATATGGAAGAAAACAAGTCAACAATTATACCATCCAAAGAAAACCACTGTTTCAGATATTTTATCCATAAATTTAATATACACACATACCTTCTATAAAATGGTATTAATAGTGAATATGCTACTTTTAATCCTCCTTTTTAATTAACATTATATCATGAGTTTATCCACTGATCTTTTAGAACAGGATTTTTAATACCAGCAATTTCTTTAATTTGAATGAACTAATTTCTATGGATATGCATATATATTCCCTCTATTTTTCATTATTAAAGTATTTAATAAAGTTCCTAGTATGTAAATCTGTATGCATATGGATATGCATATATATTCCCTCTACTTTTCATTATTGAAGTATTTAATAAAGTTCCTAGTATGTAAATCTGTATCTCTTTGATAAATTAATACAAGCAGAATTGAGACTAGAACTAAAAGTTACTTAAGAAAAAAAATTGTTACCAAATTATCTTTCAAAAATGTCCTACAAATTTCTATTTTCATTATCAAATATTTAGTGGTAGTGATAGATATTACCCATGATCCCAAATATTTTCCAATTTGATAGAAAAGAATGTAATTGTTTATTTAATTTGCATTTTTGGTTATCATTGGGGAATTTTTTTTTCATATTTTATGATATCTTATAAGTATGATTTTAATAACTCTGCTTCTAAGGAAACATTCTTTATTGAGTTAAGACTTAAATGTTGCCCTGGCCAGTTTTTCTCAATGGTTAAAGTATCGAACTGTGGACTAGAGTCCTGGGTTAGATTCCTGGTCAAGGGCACATACCTCAGTTGCAAGTTCTCCAGCCCAGGTAGGGGTGAATGTGGGAGGCAATCAATCAATGTGTCTCTCTCACATCACATTGATGTTTCTCTCTCTATTTCCACCTCCCCTCCCTCCCCCATCTCCTCCATCCCTTCCATTCAGCAATGGAAAAATATATCCTTAGGTGAAGAGTAAAAAAAAAAAAGAACTTATATATTAAATATATTAAAACCTAGTTTGTCATATTTTAGCCATTACTTCTTGGTTACTTGCCTTTCCCTTTAAGTGGGTATACATATAATAACTTTAAATTTTCATGTAGTTAAATGTATCAATTTTCCCTTTATTTTTTATTTTTTAAAATATATTTTATTGATTTTTTACAGAGAGGAAGGGAGAGGGATAGAGAGGTAGAAACATCAATGAGAAACATCAGCTGCTTCCTGCACATCTCCTATTGGGGATATGCCCGCAACAAAGGTACATGCCCTTGACCGGAATCAAACCTGGGACCTTTCAGTCCGCAGGCCGACGCTCTATCCACTGAGCCAAACTGGTCAGGGCCAATTTTTCCCTTTAACATTTTATGCCAAGAAAGGTTAAATCAACTTTTTAAGTTTATTTTTATTAATTTCAGAGAGGGAGGGAGAAAGTGACAGAAACATCAATAATAAGAATCATCAATTGGTTGCCTCCTGCACACCCCTACTGGGCATTGAGCCCACAATCCATGACTGGTCAAGGAATGTGCCCTGACCAGGAATCAAACCGTGACCTCCTGGGTCAACGCTCAACCACGAGAGCCACATGGACTGGGCTTGGGCTACTCAACTCTTAAAGCAGATAGTCATTGATACATCTTTTGGTTTTAGTTTTACATTTGACAAAAATATATAAATTTCTATATGTAATTTATTTTGATATTCATATGAGGTATAGAGCTACTTTAAATTTCTTTGCAAATAAAAAACTATCCAAATAATAAAATATCCAACCTTTCATCAAACTTTAAATGGTATCATTTATAATATTTAGTATATGATTTTACATATTGAAATTTATTACTAGGCTTTCTATTATATTTCAATTATTTGTCTTCACTAATGAAAACAGTGTTTAATTCATTTATTTTTAATTTTTTTTAAAAAATTGATTTTAGAGAAGAAGAGAGAGAAACATCAATCCGTTAGGTTGCCTTCTGCATATACCCTGACTGGGGATGGTACCCGAAACGTGGGTATGTGTCCTGACTGGAAATTGAACAGGAACCTTTCAGCGCACAGAACGATGCTCAATAAAGTCACAGTGGCTAGGGCTGAAAGCAGTGTTTCAGAAAGATTATTTTGTCAGTAACTGGTAGGATACATTAAGAGTAGGGTAGGATGCATAAGTTTTAACAGATAGCAAAGTCCAAGATTAAAATAGAAGCACTATCAAAAGAAAGGGTAACAAAATGGCAAGAGATTGTAATATGAGTTTTTCTTTTGAAACTCTCATACCTATGAGTGCTCTCAATACAAGATCCCAGAGATTGCAGGAATTATTAGCATTTTAACATTGGCAAAGCTGGACAATGAAAATGAGTATTAGTTTCCCGACCCAATTAGAACTACCATAGTATCAAGGAGTGTGCAAGCCTTCAGCCTTCCTAAAGAAATGAAAATGCATAAAAATCAATTATAATGTAAATTTGTCTTACCAATAAGGGGTGCCAATGAAAGATTTTCTCTTTGCAATTGTAGCTGTTATTTTTGCAGCTACACCAAAGTCAGCTGGTAGAGAAAAATATAAAACAGAAAATTTTAGTTCTTTTCAATAAAAGCATTAACATTTCTAAGTTTCATCCTTAGGCCTGACATTATTACTAATTCGAATAATGCTAGGGAAAAGTATAAAAGTTGAATACCTAAATTTCTTCTTTCAAGATTTATAACACACCCATTAAAAGAAAATAATCTACTGGTGCTTTACTAGAATGAAAATGTACATTATTAAGGACAAAGTTAATAAAAATATTTTTGTGACAACCACATTAAAGTTAAGTTGAGCCCGACCAGAGTGGCTGAATGATAGAGCATTGACCTATGAATCAGGAAGCCATGACTTGATTCCAAATCAGGGCACATGCTGGAGGTTGAGGATTTGATCCCCAGTTGGGGTGTGCAAGATACAGCCCATTGATGATTCTCTCTCATCATTGATGTTTTTATCTCTTTTCCTTTCCCTTCCTTTCGCTGAAATCAATAAGAACATATGTTTTTTTTTAAGTTAATGTGAAAAATAGAAAGAGCAAAAAATAAAACACCCACCTGAATTCCTTTTATTCTAACATAACCAGGTTAGTATTTTGGTGCTATTATTTAAAAAAGTTTTTTGAATGTACCCGGTGGGAGGGAAGATGGTGGGCTTTGGCCAAGCAAAAAAGTTCTTTTTCTATAAATAAACTTTGTTATTGTTGCTAAACATGGTTGTAAAAAACTAAATACAAAATAGTTCATTTTTGTCATGTAACAGATCACAGGATTTTACTTTTATTCTTCTTAAATCCTCATCCAAGGATATGCTTTTATTGATTTTAGAGAGAAGAGGAGGAAGAGAGAAACACCAATTGATCACCTCCTGTACACATCCTGATCAGCATGGAACCCGCAACTTCCCAGTGCTCCAACCAACTAAGCCGCCTGGCCAAGATGACTGACTGAATAATGTTTCTTAAGTGGATTTATCACAGTTTAACAGTTTTTCTATTGCTAAAACTATGCTCTCATTTTCTTCTATTCCATATAATATTATGATTAACCCTTCTGTGAATATGGATTTTTTTATCTTTAGAATTAATATCCTTAAACTGAGTCTCAGGAGTAAAATTGGAAGGTCAAACAATGAACATTATTGTGGCTCTTAACATGATTATTAAACTTGTCTAATGTTAAAATTAAAATTAAAATTTGGGGAAAATGTTAGAAATTTGAAATAACATACCTAATTTTACATCACCATGATCTGTCAATAAAATATTTGCACCCTAAAACAAAAAAACAAATACTATTTAATTAGTATCATAAAATTCATTCCAATAAAATTATTAATTTAAACATATTAAATAAACTTACTTTGATATCTCTATGCATTTTGCCTTTAGTATGCAAATAGGCAAGACCCTAAAAATAAAAAAAATAAAAGGTAGCATTAGCAAAATCGCAAAACTGAAGCCTACACTTCCTGCTTGAATGGCTTTCTGGTGGTGATCCCAGATGAGTTTCTTTTTACTAGTCAATGTTTACTATATTTTAAGATTTCAAATTCATTTCTGATAAAAATCAGAAATATTTACTACTGGAGGCCCGAAATTCATGCACTGGAGTGGGGCCTGGGGGTCCCTCAGTTTGGCCTGTGCCCTCTTGCAGTCCAGGAGCTCTTAGGGGATATCGGGCTGATGGACATCCTTAGCACTGCCGTGGAGGCGGGAGAGGATCCTACCACTGCCGCTGCACTGGCAAGCTGTGAGCCTGGTGGCTTCTGACTGAGTGGTGTTCCCCCTGTGGGAGCACACTGACAACCAGGGGCAGCTCCTGCATTGAATATCTGTCCCCTGGTGGTCAGTGCGCATCATAGCGACTGGTCATTCTGCTGTTCGGTTGATTTGCATATTAGCCTTTTATTATATAGGATAACATCATCTCCAAAATTAAGAAAATGAACATATTTATTGCTCCCAAAAGTTTCTCCGACAAACACTGAACTGCTTTTTTAAATTAAAATATTTTTTATTATAGAAAATTCACATATAAAGTCCAAGTAACAATACAATGAATCCCTATGTATCCATAACCTAGACTCAACAAGTGTGAAATCATGATCGTTTTTATTTTTATTACTATTATTACTACAACTACCCTGTTTCCCCCAAAATAACAATGTCTTTTATTAATTTTTTTCTCCCAAAGTTGCGCTAGGTCTTATTTTCAGGGGATGTCTTATCTTTCCATGCATTTTCGGGGGATGTCTTATTTTCGGGGAAACACGGTAGTAGCCCTGCGCATGAATCTGGGCACCAGTACCTCTGTGGGGGCCTGGCTGCCTCACGCTCACTGCCCAGAGGCTCCCCGCAGCCCAGAGGCCCCCCGCGGCCCAGAGGCTCCGCGGCCCAGAGGCTCCCTGTCCCAGAGGCTCCGCGGCCCAGAGGCTCCGTGGCCCAGAGGCTCCCTGTCCCAGAGGCTCCGCGGCCCAGAGGCTCCCTGTCCCAGAGGCTCCGCGGCCCAGAGGCTCCGCGGCCCAGAGGCCCCGTGGCCCAGAGGCCCCCCGCGGCCCAGAGGCTCCCCGCGGCCCAGAGGCCCCCCGCGGCCCAGAGGCTCCCCGCGGCCCAGAGGCTCCGCGGCCCAGAGGCTCCCCGTCCCAGAGGCCCCCCGCGGCCCAGAGGCTCCCCGTCCCAGAGGCTCCCCGCGGCCCAGAGGCCCCCCGCGGCCCAGAGGCCCCCCGCGGCCCAGAGGCCCCCCGCGGCCCAGAGGCTCCCCGTCCCAGAGGCTCCCCGCGGCCCAGAGGCCCCCCGCGGCCCAGAGGCCCCCCGCGGCCCAGAGGCCCCCCGCGGCCCAGAGGCCCCCCGCGGCCCAGAGGCTCCCCGCGGCCCAGAGGCCCCCCGCGGCCCAGAGGCTCCCCGCGGCCCAGAGGCTCCGTGGCCCAGAGGCCCATCTGCGGCCCAGAGGCCCATCTGCGGCCCAGAGGCCCCCCGCGGCCCAGAGGCTCCCCGCGGCCCAGAGGCTCCGCGGCCCAGAGGCCCATCTGCGGCCCAGAGGCCCATCTGCGGCCCAGAGGCCCCCCGCGGCCCAGAGGCTCCCCGCGGCCCAGAGGCCCCCCGCGGCCCAGAGGCTCCCCGCAGCCCAGAGGCTCCCCCCGGCCCAGAGGCTCCGCGGCCCAGAGGCCCCGCGGCCCAGAGGCTCCCCGAGGCCCAGAGGCCCATCGGTGGCCAGGCGCAGAACGCTTGCCTCGTTGCTGGGGCAACGACACGTGTTCCCCACACCCCTGTTACTCTGTGCTGACTGCCCAGAGCCCTCCAGGGCCAGGATGGAGCACTTGCCTCATTGTCATGGCAACGAAGCAAATATTCTGCCAGGCCACTGATGATGCCCACTTTCAGTGGCTGCCCCCCAGGACTGGGGGACTCCGGTGGGGCTGAGAAGACAGGCACTTCCATCTTTGTGACAGAGAGATGGTTAATTTGAATATTACCAATTTATTAGATAGGATGTTGTGCACCAGGGGAGAGGGCAGGAGGGGGCCCCTCAGCCCGGTCTGCGCCCTCTCGCACTCCCGGACCCCTCGGGGATGTCCAACTGCCGGCTTAGGCCTGCTCTCTGCTGGCAGTCGGACATCCCCCGAAGGGTCCTTAGCACTGCTGCAGACGGGAGAGGCTCCCGCCATTGCCAATGCACTCACCAGCCATGAGCCCAGCTTCTGGCTGAGCAGCATTCCCCCTGGGAGCTCATTGACCATCAGAGGGCAGCTCCTGCATTGAACGTCTGCCCACTGGTGGTCAATGCATGTAATAGCGACTGGTTGTTACACTGGTTTATATATATATATTAGCCTTTTACTATTATATAGAAATTTTTTTTTGTTAATCTTCACCTGAGGATATTTTTCCATTGATTTTTAGGGAGAGTTGGAGAGGGAAAGAGAGAAACATTGATGTGAAAAAAAAAACATCGATTGGTTGCCTCCTGCATGAGCCCTGAACAGGGTCTGGGCTGGGGAGGAGCCTGTAATAAGGATACTTGCCCTTCACCAGAATTGAACCTGGGACCCTTTGGTCCGCAGGCTGACACTCTATCCACTGAGCCAAACCAACTAGGACTCATGGTCAATCTTGTTTCATTCTGAACCTCACAGTACCACACACTCCCCCTCCACCACCACATTATTCTGAAGTCTCAGATTTCATAAAATTCCATCCACTAAGACAGTGACTTTAAAAAAATATAATTACAATGATATTATTATACCTCATCATTAACAATGATTTAATACTATCAAATATCCAGTGTTCACAAATTAAAGTGAGATTCAAACAAGGTTTGTACACTGCAATTCGTTGAAATGACTCCTATTTCTCTTTTAATCTACAGAATCTTGTGCCATATCCCATATATTATAGCTTCCTTTTAAGTTTTTGTCAAAGAAAGTGCAGTTTATTGGTTTATCGTGTGCAGTCTCTCAGGATTTGGATTTTGCTAATTACATCCCAATGATGTTGTTTTACATTTTTCTGACCTCATGTACTACCACTGAGTGCTTATATCTAGGGTCTTGATCAGACTTAAGACTGAATTATTTTGGTAAAATTACTTCATGGGTGGTGCTATATTAGTCAGAACTATAGAACTAAAAAGGAAAAAAAAACAAACAGAGGTTATTTGAACTATAGAATTAAAAAGGAACAATGAGAGCAATAAATATTACAGCAGTAGCAACTGCAGGAAGCTGTTACCAAAACTCTAGGCCCTGGGGGAGCAGCGAAGAGAGTGGAATTATTAATACTTAGAAGTCTGGGAAAAAGAGTCCTGTAGAACTGAAATCGAGATATCTGAGGTGCTAATGTCCACAGAAATTACACAATGTCTGGCTACCTTTTAGTGATAATAACTCATCTGATACTGATCTGATTTCTGTCATGACAGATCATTTCTGAATTTTCTAGAATTTATGTAAAAGAAATCATTCAGCATCTTCTTTTTTGTCTGTATCTTTCATAATAATTAATATGACATTCCTTGAGATGTATATATTAATATTTCATTCTTCTTTATTACTGAGTAGTAGTCCATTATACAGACATACCAAAATTTGTTTATCCATTTACCTATTGACAGACATTGGGTTGTTTCCAGGTTTTGGCTATCTATAATAATATAAGCATAATATACTAATTAGCAGATGATCTTCCAGACAAAGCCAGGCTGTGAGGGAAGCCCGAATACTGGGTGCCAGAGGGAAGCTGGTGCTGGCAGCTGGGGGAAGGAAGGCCTACTCTTGCATGGATTTTGTGCATTGGGTCTCTAGTTATAAATAAAGCTGCTATAAGATTCATGTACAGTTGTTGTATCATTTTTTTCCCCCTCCTGGGTAAATACCTAGCAGTGTTAACAACTGGATCATACAGTGGTACAAGTTAAACTTCTGGTGATTGCCAAACTGTATTTCAAAGCAGCTGTACCATTTTACACTGAAAACAGAGGTGCATGAGAGTTCCTGTTAATCCACAACCTCACCAACCTTCCTGTAAGGGTTTTCTGTGTTTTGTGTTTTTTTTAATTCTAGCCATTTTAATTGGTGTGTAGTTGTATTGCACCGTGGCTTTAATGCACACTTTTCTAATAACTAATGAAATTGAGCATTTTTTCCATCCATATATCTTCTTTGGAGAAGTGTCTGGTTAAATCTTTTATTCATTTGCATATTGAATTGTTTTCTTAATGAGTTTTGAGAGTTTATATACTGTGGATGTAAGTCCATGGTCAGGTATATTATTTACAACTTTCTACTTTTAGTCTGGTCCTTTTATTCTCTTAATAGTGCCTCTTGAACAAGAGTGTTTCAGTTTTGATGAAGTATAATTTAGCAAGTTTTTTATTTTATGGATCATGCTTTTCCTGTTATGTTTGAAAAGGCTTTGCTTAACTCAAGATTGCAAAATGTCCTATGTTGTGGTATTTGAGTCAACACATCTGTCTCAGCCTGCATTGGTGTTTATTCATTTCACAGGATTTTATGGATATGTATAAGCATATTTGTTTAACCTTTATTTCTAAATGTCAACTACAAAGATAAAAGTTCAAGAGTATTCAGGTAAATACTTTCTTCTTTTCTTAAATTCAATCTTACTCATTATAAATAGGTACAAGCATCTGCCTGTTTTATATTTTCTACTCTAACTATACCTGAGCATTTGTTAAAATACAAATTAATTCATTATAAAAATATTTTCTCCTACTTTCTCTTCTATAATTTCTAGTATATAGAAATCCAACTGATTTTGTATATTGATCTTGAATCCTGCAACCTTTCTAGCTATATTTATTAGCTTTAGTAGCCACTTTGTAAATGTAATTCCATTTTCTACATAGGTAATTTTATAGTCAATAAAGAGTTTCACTTCTTCCTTTCTAATATGGATCCCTTTAATTTCATTGTTTTTTTTCTTTCTGTGATGGCCCAAATCTCTAGCACAATGTGGGAAAGAAGCTGTGAGAACAGACACCTTCCCCTGATAACCTTGGTGAAAAAGCATCTAATCTTTACCATTCAGAATGACACAGTTGAAGGTTTGTCATGGTTGCTCTTTATCAAGTTAAACAAGTTCCATTTTATTCCCAGCATACTGAGAACTTTTATGACAAATAAATGTTGGATTTTGTTAAATGCTTTTTCTGTGTTTAGACAATCATGTCGTTTTTCTTTTTGTTTGCTAATAAGGACAATTGAAATTATTTTTGAATGTTAAACAGCATTGCATTCTAGGATACTGCCCTCCACCCTACCTTATTCACAATGTATTATCCTTTTTATATAATGTTGAACTGCCTTTGTTAACATTTTATTTTCCTTTTTAATTTCTGCATCTATGTTTATGAAGGATATTAGTCTGTAGTTTTGTTCTCTTGTAATGTCTAATTTTGGCTTCAGATCAATGCTGGCCCATAAAATGACTTGGGAGATATTCTCTATTCTTCAGTTTTCTAGAAGACTTCATATAGAATTGGCAATATTTCTTCCTTAAGTGTTTGATAGAATTTATCCATGACATCATCTAACTTGGAGATTTATTTGTGGGAATAGATATAAACTATTCAGATGATTTCTAACTGTCTGAGCTTTGGTAGTTAGGAAATTTTCTATTTCATTTAAGTTGTAGGCTTTATTGGCATAAAGCTGTTCTTAACATTCCTTGGGTATTGATTATCCTATTATCATTTAATATTTACAAATTGTCATAATATTAGTAACTTGTGTCTCCCTTTTTATTTTTCTTAATCCCTCTGGCTAGAGGTTTATCAGTTTTATTAATCTCAAAGAATCATATTTCTGTTTCAATGCTTTGCTCATGTTTTCTGCTTCCTATTTAAATGATTTCCGCTCTGATCTTTATTATTTTCTTTCTCTGCTTACTTTGGGTTTAATTTGCTCATCTTTTTCCAGTTTCTTAAGATGGAAATTGAGGAAGTTGTTTTCAGATCTTTCCTTCTTTCTAGAAAAGCTTAAAGTACCTCTTTATGTTATAAACATTCCTCTACTAAGTACTACCTTAGCAGTTTCCCAAATTTTGATGAGCTGTGCTTTCATTTCATTGGTTTTAAAATACTTTTTAGTTTCTGATTTCTTCTTTGACTCTCATGTTACTTATTAGCACTTTATTTAGTTTGATTTATAATTTAAATTGCATACGGTGAGAGAAAATACTTTGTATTATATAAATCCTTTTAAATGTATTAAGACATATTTTATGGCCCAGAATATAGTCTATCTTGGTAAATGCTCTATGGACACTTAGAAAAGCACATGTATCCCACTGTTGTTGGACTAAAAGGTCAGTAAGGTCAAATTGGTTGATTGTGTTGTTCAAATTTTCTATATTGTGAGACGGATATCAGACTGCGCATTAATCTATTTTTCCTTGCAGCACTATGGCTTTTGCTTATTTATTTTGAAGTTGTGTTTTATTAGGAACATAAATATTTAGGATTGTTATGCTTTTTTATAAAATTATCTTCTTTAGTAATAATTTTTGTTCTGAAGTCTACTTTGTCTGAAATTAATATGGCCACTCAGCTTTGTTTTGAATAGTTAGTATGATATATATATATGTGTGTGTGTGTGTGTGTGCATATGTATATACATATATTGATATATGTATATTTATATTTTTTTCTTTTAACTTTTGATCTATTTGTCATTATAAAGATATTTTCTTGTAGGCAGCATCTAGTTGTATTTTGCTTTATTCCATTCTGACAACTTCTGTCCTCTTTTCTTTTCATAAAAACACATCTATTTAATAAAACTGTATATACAGGGTGTCCCAGAAAAATGTATGCACATTTCAACAGCTGGTGGCTCAATTTTGAAAAGAAAATGTATTTATTTTAATAAAAACTGCATTTGTAATTATTCAAAGTATGTGTATACATTTTTTTGGACACCTATATTTAAGGTGTACATAACTTGATATATATGTACAATGAAATGATTACTTGAATCAAAGTAATTAATATCATTTCCTCACAGTTGCTAGTTTTGTCAAGAGAGCACCCAAAATCTATTCTCTTAGAGTATTTTCAGTATTCAGTATAGCGGTATTAAATTTAGTCATCATGCTATACATTAGTAATTAATCTATATGATTGCAACTTTATACTCTTTGATCAACATCTCCCCATTTCTCTTTTCCAACTTAGCCCAGGCCCTGGCAACCACCACTCTACTTTCTGTATCTGTAAATTCAACTAGGTTCTACAGATAAGTAAGATCATGTAGTATTTATCTTTCTGTTCCTGGCTTATTTCACTTAGCAAAATGTCTTCCACATTCATTTGTGTTGTCACAAATAACAGGATTCCCTCTTTTTATGACTGAATAATATTGCAGTGTGTGTGTGTGTATGTATTGTGCGTACATCACACCTCCTTTAACCATTCAGAAACCAGAGGAGGAAATTTGTAAGAATAATAAAATTTTAAAATTGGAACTAATCTTGGAGGCCATCCCTTCCAACGACTCATTTTATCCTTTAAGAACTAGAACTATAGAAGAAATTATGGTCATAAACCAAAACAAGAATGCATATGCAAGTTACTGTTTCCATTCTGTACTCTGTCAATTACTATATAAGAAATGAACTTGGCAAATTAAAATATAAAACATTTAATGTCAATAATTCTCTGCTGAGTATATGATTAGCTTTGTATTGTATGTGGATACAAAGAGACTTCTATGTTATGTGAATGTTTAAAAATTACATATATATATGGAATTTACTTTCATATATCTAACAGTAAGATTTAACATGGTATGTCTTTTAAAGCATGTGGAAACTAAATCTTTTCAAAATGACTAGAGCTTTCTCTGAAATCAGGTTAATCTCCTTTATATGGAAGAACATACAGAACCATTAATTTCACTTCTGAACAAGCTATACAATGTAGGATATGTAAGGATATAAGCATCAATTAATAATGATCAGTTGTAAATTAACAAAATTATAGACACAAGCACTAGAACTTACTGACCCTTTTTCTAATTTAAATGCTTTAAAGTATATAAACAAAACTGTGAATTGCTGATTTTCTCAATGAGTAAGTAGTCTTTCAGGACACTGAAAAGATAAACATATTGGGAGAATTGCTGCAAACTGTATGCTATAGAACTGTGGTCGACAAACTGCGGCTCACAAGCCCCATGCGGCTCCCTGACCCCTTGAGTGTGGCTCTTCTTGCAAAATACTATGGCCTGCGCGAATCTATTTTGAAGAAGTGGTGTTAGAAGAAGTTTAAGTTTTAAAAAATTGGCTCTCAAAGAAAATTTCAATCATTGTATTGTTGATATTTGGCTCTGTTGACTAATGAATTTGCCTACCACTGCTATAGAAGATTCACAACCTACTTTAACATATTAAAAACACCCACAGATCTGAAATAATGAAACCTCTGCATAATACGATATTTACCAAGCTTTTAGAAAAAAAGATTCAGCTCAAATAAACTCACAAAAATTCTTTACAAAAAAAAAAAAAAAAGATTCAGCTATCAATGATTCTTACTAATATCACACAGAACCAGGATTTCCAGATACCATTCTGAGTAATTGTTATTCTAATTTATTTTCTTTTGGAGAAAAATGGCAAAAGACCACTGTGTATACCAGCATCAGCTTAAAAGAATTCCTATCAATCATTCATGAAAGAAATAACTAGGCTTACAGGATTACAATATGAGAAGTTAACAGAAAAAAAAACTGGTTTAAAAACTCTTTTGTGCACATCACCATTTTATAGTTTTCAATTGTGAAAGGAGACCTGCCTTTTAGCTACATAAGTAAATGTAGTACCTGTAAAGTTTCTCTGCATACATAGGCTATTTGCAATTCTGATAATGGTCCAGTAACTAAAAAAAAAAAAAAAAGACCACATTGTAATACATCAGATTAGAAATATTCTACTATTAATTTATTAATTTATTATATACAGAGGAAAGGTGAGAGAGAAAAAAATTAATGATGAGAGCATATCATTAATCGGCTGCTTCCTGCATATCGATACTGGGGATCAAGCTGGTAACCCGGCATGTGCTCTGACCAGGAATTGAAGGCAAACTTTCAGTGCACAGGACAACACCCAACCAACCGAGCCACAAGGGCCATAGCAAGGTATTATTTCCTTAGTCTAATTCTTTACTACAGCTGTCAAAATAGAGGCTTGATCCAGTACCTTATCTAAGAGTTTAAAAAGGAGGCAGATTACTTCTGGCAACCAGATCTATCCCTATTATGAAATACAAAATCCTTCTGCATGTACCCAATATCTGAAATCTAGAGTGGTGTGTGCTGACAATGAAACCAAATGAGGTACTTCCTTTTAATCTTAAGAGAAATTTTACTGCACATTTTAATCACTGGGTCTCTACACCTACTCTGAAACTAACTTTTGATTCTTAGTAACTTGAAATCATAGTAAAAGAAGAAAAGCCACTTTGTTAACAGTTTATTGTAAGTATAGAGGCTCTTGATTACTATGCTATCTAATATACTATTTATAGAAATGAATACTACTTAAGATTCGACTTAATTCAACAAATACCAGATTTTAATAATGGAAAGTAGAAACTTCATGAAGATAAAATTAATGTCTCAAAAACAATTCTTTAACTGAACATAAGGTGTAATGAAAAAAATGCCAACTATATAGTTTTATTTATCCATATTATTAGGTTCTCACTCTGTAATAGTGCGATGAATAAAAATTATAATTACTGTATAAAAACTCTATATGAAAGATAATTATTCATTATCATAGAGGAGACTTTTTTAGTTTTATTTTTATTGATTTTTTAGAGAGAAAAGGGAAAGGGAGAGTAGGAAAGAAGGAGAGGGAGAGAGAGAGAGAGAGAGAGAGAGAGAGAGGAAAACATCAATCTGTTGTTCCACTTATTTATGCATTCATTGGTTGATTCTAGTGTATGCCCTGACCGAGAAGCAACACCACAACATTGGCATATCAGGATGACACTCTAAGCAACTAAGCTACCCAGTCATGGCCACAGAAAATACTTTTAAATCAAGTGGCATAAGCTATTTTCTATCAATAATTATTTAAAATCAACAGGGTAAAATAAAAGAGAACAGTCATTCTACTATGATATAATACATAAGAAAATAATAGACTACTATTAAGAAAATAAACCTTATTTTTCTCTTTTAAAACATGAGATTAGTTTTTGCTTTAAGCACTTACACTTTATTATTTTATCTGCAACTATGTGGTATTAAATATTATTTTAAATAAAAATAGTCATTCCCCACTCAGGGCATGTATAGAAGGCAATCTATCGATGTATCTTTCTCTCTCTCTCTCTCTCTCTCTCGCTTTTTCCCTCTCTAAAAAATAAAAAAAAGAGATAGCTGCCAGAGTTTAGACATCACAATCTTTTTTGTCATGGCTTATTTTCTGTGATAAAATTAGATAATTATTATATTTATCAATACATTTATATTATCATTCAAATCTTTATTTATGAATCCCACTTCTCTTCCCTAGCAGTAATGACTTATCAATTTGATGTTTCCTTTAATTTTGGTGTGCATTTATATTTGTATGTATACTTTTACATCTAAGTATGAATGATTATGTTATACAAATTTTTTCATGATTCATTTTTTTCATTTAAAAAAAATATCCTTAGAGCAATATACCCCAGGCAATATAAATGGAATTACTGCATCTTTTGAATTGCTTCAATATTGCTATAATATTCCATATTATAGATGCAGTGTATATTTAACCACCACTTTATTGATTGACAATTAAAAATTTGACTTTATAATATAATATATTATATTATAATAATCTTTATAGTATAATAATCTACATATATTATTTCAATGGCTATAGCACTTGTTTTTAGAAGTACTACGGTTGCATTTATAAGCTGCATGAAATTTTATAAGGCTTTCAACATAAAGATTTCAGCATAGAAACATTAAAAAACACTCCTTAAATGTTTAAAAATACATAATAAATTATACAACATGTAATTGCAATAGTTTTACTATTCTACATCCAGTTAAATAAAGTTATTTTATAAGAATCTATGCTTAGTCTCATAAGCTCTAGAAATTCTGAAAATTGTCAACAACAAAACAAACTGGAAGCTAAATTGTAGAAACAAAAGAAAACCTATATTTCTACATAATATTATGCGGCAAAATCAAATTCAACAAAAAAAAGTGCCTAAATTAACAGAATGCTAAACAAAAATATTACAGCAACAACTACAGTAAATTGCTTTCCTAGGTAGCAGGTTAAAATATTAAGACAGTATATAATTTCTTTTAGGAGAGAATTACCCTTGGCATTTTAATTCTTACTTACAAGGAAGTTTAGGCAGTTTTATTGCTAGAAAAATACTTTCCTAAAGGACTACATCTAAAAAGTAAAATTTGGATTATTCAAGTACACTTGACTTTCTGAGTTCAGGCTCCAGCAAATTTAACTGAATAGACAAAAAATTAAATTTAAATTTCTTTTATGCAATACTCCAGGAACAGAACAGATGAATGTAAAACAGTAAATCTACCTGTTAATATCCCTGGTTAATGAGACATGTCAAACAACACATTAAAATCAGAGTCAGTCTCAAAATATAAAAACAAATTAATAGTACCATGGTAAATATCTTGAAGTGATCCGCCACCACAGTATTCCATACAAATCCACAGTTTTTCCCGACTAACATGAAAGAGAAAGAAAAGTACATTAGCTAGTAATTCTCAATCACTGACAGCTGTGAAGGCTTTCAGCACACCAAGATTTAGGATGAATTATCGCAACAGAAAATTGCCGTGGCAGACTCTCTTCAAACTACAGAAAATATACTGAATTCAGCATTGTTCCTATCTTACATAGTTTGGAATATGACATCTTTTATAAGCTAAAATAAAATTATTACTTAAAATCATTCATAATATTTCATTAAGTTTGCAAGATAAGGCATAATTGCATATATGGAGGTGTTAATAGTAATATAGAGAGAAGCAATAAGAGAACCTAAGAAATTTTAGAACTTTAGACAATATAATTTTTAAAATTTATGTGTATAACATCACTGACATATAAGGGAAAGTGGTGGCAAAGAAATACAAAGAGAGATCAGAAGTTTTTTTTTTCCTTACCTGAGATAGCTCCCAAAGTAGGCAACAATGTTGCAATGTTTACATTCTTTAACCATAAATATTTCTTGTTGAATCAAAGAAAAATCATCTCCTGAAAAACAAAATAACTTGGTCATCATATTAGATTTTGAATCTCTATCTATGGGAAGAAGGATGGAAAACTTTACAATAAATATTAGAGATGAGGAATTAGACATTCTTAATACTTCAAAGAGAATGTAAACTGGTACATTCTTTCTATAAAACCAGAAGCCATAAAAATGTACAAAATCTTTGAACTCATAATTTTGCTTCAAAATTTTTTTCTTGAGATATGCAAATGAATGTTCTCTACAGTATGACATAACAATTAAAGAATGGTTAAATAACTTATGATATAGTTACAGTTTTATAGTTAAAAACAGATTTTGATATGAAAATATGTTCATGATATATTAAGTGAAGGGATATCTTATATAATTATGTAAGTACATATGTATATAGAAAAAAACATTTCAAAAACATACACCATATTTATGTCTGGGTATTAAAACTAAAAGTAATTTTGCTTTCTTCTTTAATTTGCATTCTCCAATTTGTCTATCACAAACCTATATGAGTCAACAAGAAAAAGTTATATTAAAATGAAATATTATTCTTCGGAATTTTATAGTTATTGTTAGATACATTCTGGCACACCATTATGCCCCACTTGGGCCTCTTGCCCCTACTGGCGATTTTCCTGTCTCTCTAAACAAAACACAGTTTAAAAAAAAATAAAGATCTTTTGTCTTAAATATATTGCAGTTTCACCATTACATATATGCATGGGCATTTCTTATTATTTATTCTGGTTAAAATTCTTAAATATCTGGTGTTTTCTCTGAGTTCTGAAAAATTTTCAACAGAAATGCTCCAAATGCCTTTGCCAAAGTGTGTTCCTAATTAGACCTAAGACAGATCCTTTCACTCTATTTTGCACTTATTTTATAGCCTTCCAAATTTTTGCTTCTTTGAGCTATGTTTTACATAGTTTCTTCATTCAATCTATATCTAACTTGTTCCATGTATTGAATTTTAAATATATAATTATTTTTCATTTTCAGAACATAAATTTGGTTCTTTTTCAAATCTGCTTGCCTTTCTTTTGGCAATTTATTACTTTTTACTCATAGTTTCAAATCATTCTTTTATTTATCTAATCATACCATAAGTAAAGTATGTAACTCCAAAATCTGATGTCTTAATGGTTCTGTTCTGCTTATTGTCTCTGCTGGCTCTTGCTTAAAGCACCTTCATTCCTTGTATCTTCTGTGATTTTTTTACTCTGAGCTAATATTTCTTGGAACTTTATGTGTGGGAATTCTTTTAAGCTTGAGTTAAAGTAAGAGACTACATTAGCTTCTGTTATGTGACTGGGTGTGCCACCCAAAGACACATTTACAACTATTAAACCAAGAATTTTTATATGGTTTTGCTAATCCTCACCAGAGGATATTTTTCCCACTTATTTTTAGAGAGAGTGGGAGGGAGGAAAGGGGGAGCGAAAAAGAGGGAAAGGGTAAAGAAAAGAGAGCGAGAGAGAGTGAGAGAGAAAGAGAGAAGAAAGTTACTCATAGACTGGCTGCCTCTTGAATGCACCCCAACCCTGGACCCTTAGGTGCACAGGCCAATGCGCAACACTGGCCAGGGCAAAACTCTCCCGAGGTTTTTAAAGCAACACACACAGTGCAATTCCAATTCAAGACAAGCAATATTCATTGTTGTTGTTTGCAGATGACATAGTACAATTATAGAAAACCCTAAAGATTCCACCAAAAAGCATTAGAACTAATAAATGAATTTGGTAAAGTAGCAGGATGTAAAATTAATAAAGAAATCGATAGCATTCTGAGCTACAGAAATAGTTAAATCATTCTTAGGAATAATCATTTGTCTGTATATAAAAATAACACATTTTTATATACCAGTAATGAACAATCAGAAAAAATATGAAAACAATTCCATTTATAATTAAAATTAAAAATTGCCTAGGAATAAATTTAATTAAGGAAATAAAAGACCTGTACTCAGAAAACTCTAAGACACTGAAGAAAAAAACAATAATACAAACAAATAAAAGGATATATATACTCCAAACAGTGAAAGCAATACTGAAAAAAAAAAAAATTTTTTTTCAATTGAGCAAAATGGATGGAGATTGCAAATAAATAGGACAGTCAATTCTAACAAAACATTTTCTTTGGGATGCCAAACTTAGATTCTGAAAATTCAACTAAAGAGAAAAATCCTATCCATTTTAAATTCACTAATTTAGAACCTGACATTGTAGTTCATCTTTTTTACTACATAGTAATAAAAAAATTATATTTCAACTTTATCTTGTATTCAAAAGCAAACTGGAATCTAATTGAAAAAAGAATATCCTAGAATTAAGTGATTTTTACCTATTTAAATAGCAGGAAATATCTAACCATATTAGTTTTTTATATCTATTATTTAAAAGAACATATTTGGGGCCTTTTGTGACATCAAATTAACATTTTCCACCAATTCAGGCTTGAGCTTTCCAAATCCAGAAGATAGGATACTAATATTTTATCTACAGGTTATTTTTAAAAATCAAAATTATTAGATTTTAAAATAGAAGCAAATAGTGAATAGCAAGAACATAACACTTAACTAACATAGCTGACATTTGTCCCATTTGGTCAAAGCCCCTACTTTGGAATTTCTTTGAAGAACATTAACAAGGCAAACTAACGGCTGTTTAAATCTTTATAGACCTTGACTTTTTAAAATTTGTTCTTTCTGTGCTTATCCAGGAAACAAGACAAAAGTGAGAAACGTTTTAAACATCTATTAAAAGATATTTACAGATTCTTTCTCATTTTAAAAACTGTTTACACTAATGAAATACATTTAACTTATTTTACTTAAACATACTGAACTATTTCATAATTATTTCAATTTAGTATTTAAAAAAATAAGCAAGCAAGCAAGCAAAAGTATACTGCATTAATGACTCTGGGTGGTAATTGTATTAAATACCATCCCTGTAAGTAAGACTTAACAGTTTTCAACATATGATAACTTTAAAATATTATCATATAGTTTCACCATAAAAGAAGGGTTATTAGAAGAGAGAAGAGAGGGGAAGGGAAAGTGGGATTCTAATGATTAAGTGTCCCAAGAATCTTGCTCCTATCCTGGCTGTTGGCTGCTACTAACTACAAATTTGTTTGAGCAAATGAACGTCTATAAATTGAGTTAGAGGGCAAGCTGAAATTCAGACAAGGACAGAAAAATATGGTGACAAATATCATCATAATATCTGCCTCCCTTTCTGGGGTAGTTCTGATGCCTGAACAAAGAGATGGAAAATGCAACTAAAAATCAAAACGATATCACTAATATACATTATTTACTTTCAATACTAATAACTGGTAGGTCAAACTTTATTTGTAAGATAGTTTCATATTTAATAAGCACTTACTATTAAAATAAAATACAGAAATGGTTGTCATTCTTAGAAATAATAATTTGTGTATAAAAAGAATTTAAAAAAACCATAAGGACATAGGAAGGAATTCTGACTTGTTATCTTTTTCAATTGTTTTTGTGGCTAATTAAAAAACCAATTCTCTGTGCTAATTTACTTTTATTATTAAAGCTAATGTTCACTTTAGAATTTTTATATGAGTATTATGAAAAGCCTCAAAAGCAAATTTTCAGTAAAATTATAAAAATAATATAAAAAGGGGTAAGTCAGTAAATCAGTAATAAAATTCAAGGCTCTAATAAATTTCTATTATTTTTAACTGGGGTGAAAAGTGTTATTTATAGCTGCAACTTCATTTACTTAAAAGAAAGTCTTGTTTATATTTAATCAGACATAAGGCTTTTTTGTAAGTCATATTGGCAAATAATTACCTTTTCATTCTAAAAACAATTCTAAACCAGCTCATCTGTTAAATCAATACAAGGAAGCAATTTTGTAATGTGCTGGCTTAAGTGCAATTTTTTAAAAAGCTGAATTCATTTCTGAAATACAGCTGTCTCCAGAATTATTTGACCTATCTGAACTGAATGATGAAGTAATTCTTTAGCATACCATCAGATTTTTTATCAAAACATTTCCTTATGTCTATTCTGAAAACGTGGCAAACATCATCTACTCTGGCTTTACTGAAAATTCTAAATCAAGCTATAAAAATCTATGGTCATACAGAAAACATTTCTTTTAAAGGCAAGAAACAAGAGGAAAAAACTCCACAATTAAAATGTAATGAAACGAAGAGAAACCAAGATGGCGGCATAGGGTAGACACCTGAATGCAGCCTACCACAACAAATTTGAATTTAGAACTGAAAAACAGGGGAAACATCGCCCTGAAGCGCCGGACAGCTGGCTGAGAGGAGGCTCTACCATCTGGGAAGGAGAAAGAAGGCGCGCTGAACCTCAGGAACTGTGAAGGTACAGAGAACTGTGCACACGAAAAGGTGGCCACCCGACTTCACTGCCGATTTCGCTGCCGGCTTGCTTGCGGAGCGCGGAGAGGGCGGACAGCTAATGCACGGCAGCTGGCTTTCTAGTTTGGGAGGAAAACAGAACCACCCAATTGCACTGATAAATGGCCCCAGACAGGGAGAGGCTAGACTGTCAGGCAGTGGGCAGAGATCTCTCGGAGGTGTGGGAAGCCAGCGGCCATTACTGCGGGACTCAGAAACCAGACCCTCATAGGGCGGAGCTGAATAAAGCTTGTCTGCACCACCCCGAGACCCGCCCCATACAAGCAGAGCACAAAAGCCCTTCCAGTGGCTAGCTTTCTTGTTCGTAGTGAATGGGACTCTCCTAGGGAGTGACAGACAGGAATTTAAAGCTTGTCTGCACCTATACCAAATAGGTGCATACGTGCGTGAGCCTGCAACCAATTCAACAAAGCTTGTCTGTGCCCACCCTGAGACTCTGCCCCATTCAAGCGGAATACAGAAACTCTCCTAGCTGAGACACTTCTGATCCTCATATCCAATTGGCTTGAGATCAACGCTTCCCAGTGATACCAATAACAAGACTGCACACACAGCCCACAAAGGGCTACACCAAGACTGT